GTGTCTAGTATAATATCAGAGTGTTCGGGCTGGTACGGGCGCAGTTTGGCTCCAAAAAAGATGAAACTTGGGATTTTGAAATTTCATTCCGTAAGGTTTCAAATGGTGTAGGTCACGTCAATTCACTCCGACATCTCTAATTCACTTTATTTTTTATTAGTGTCTAGTATAATATCAGAGTGTTCGGGCTGGTACGGGCGCAGTTTGGCTCCAAAAAAGATGAATCTTGGGATTTCCAAATTTCATTCCTTAAGGTTTCAAATGGTGTAGGTCACGTCAATTCACTCCGACATCTCTAATTCACTTTATTTTTTATTAGTGTCTAGTATAATATCAGAGTGTTCGGGCTGGTACGGGCGCAGTTTGGCTCCAAAAAAGATGAATCTTGGGATTTCCAAATTTCATTCCTTAAGGTTTCAAATGGTGTAGGTCACGTCAATTCACTCCGACATCTCTAATTCACTTTATTTTTTTTATTAGTGCCTAGTGAAATATCAGAGTGTTCGGGCTGGTACGGGCGCCGTTTGGCTCCAAAAAAGATGAATCTTGGGATTTTGAAATTTCATTCCGTAAGGTTTGAAATGGTGTAGGTCACGTCAATTCACTCCGACATCTCTAATTCACTTTATTTTTTATCAGTGCCTAGTGTAATATCAGAGTGTTCGGGCTGGTACGGGCGCAGTTTGGCTCCAAAAAAGATGAATCTTGGGATTTTGAAATTTCATTCCGTAAGGTTTGAAATGGTGTAGGTCACGTCAATTCACTCCGACATCTCTAATTCACTTTATTTTTTATTAGTGCCTAGTGTAATATCAGAGTGTTCGGGCTGGTACGGGCGCAGTTTGGCTCCAAAAAAGATGAATCTTGGGATTTCCAAATTTCATTCCTTAAGGTTTCAAATGGTGTAGGTCACGTCAATTCACTCCGACATCTCTAATTCACTTTATTTTTTATTAGTGTCTAGTATAATATCAGAGTGTTCGGGCTGGTACGGGCGCAGTTTGGCTCCAAAAAAGATGAAACTTGGGATTTTGAAATTTCATTCCGTAAGGTTTCAAATGGTGTAGGTCACGTCAATTCACTCCGACATCTCTAATTCACTTTATTTTTTATTAGTGTCTAGTATAATATCAGAGTGTTCGGGCTGGTACGGGCGCAGTTTGGCTCCAAAAAAGATGAATCTTGGGATTTCCAAATTTCATTCCTTAAGGTTTCAAATGGTGTAGGTCACGTCAATTCACTCCGACATCTCTAATTCACTTTATTTTTTATTAGTGTCTAGTATAATATCAGAGTGTTCGGGCTGGTACGGGCGCAGTTTGGCTCCAAAAAAGATGAAACTTGGGATTTTGAAATTTCATTCCGTAAGGTTTCAAATGGTGTAGGTCACGTCAATTCACTCCGACATCTCTAATTCACTTTATTTTTTTTATTAGTGCCTAGTGAAATATCAGAGTGTTCGGGCTGGTACGGGCGCAGTTTGGCTCCAAAAAAGATGAATCTTGGGATTTTGAAATTTCATTCCGTAAGGTTTCAAATGGTGTAGGTCACGTCAATTCACTCCGACATCTCTAATTCACTTTATTTTTTATTAGTGCCTAGTGTAATATCAGAGTGTTCGGGCTGGCACGGGCGCAGTTTGGCTCCAAAAAAGATGAAACTTGGGATTTTGAAATTTCATTCCGTAAGGTTTGAAATGGTGTAGGTCACGTCAATTCACTCCGACATCTCTAATTCACTTTATTTTTTATTAGTGCCTAGTGAAATATCAGAGTGTTCGGGCTGGTACGGGCGCAGTTTGGCTCCAAAAAAGATGAAACTTGGGATTTTGAACTTTCATTCCGTAAGGTTTCAAATGGTGTAGGTCACGTCAATTCACTCCGACATCTCTAATTCACTTTATTTTTTATTAGTGTCTAGTATAATATCAGAGTGTTCGGGCTGGTACGGGCGCAGTTTGGCTCCAAAAAAGATGAATCTTGGGATTTTGAAATTTCATTCCGTAAGGTTTCAAATGGTGTAGGTCACGTCAATTCACTCCGACATCTCTAATTCACTTTATTTTTTATTAGTGTCTAGTATAATATCAGAGTGTTCGGGCTGGTACGGGCGCAGTTTGGCTCCAAAAAAGATGAATCTTGGGATTTCCAAATTTCATTCCGTAAGGTTTCAAATGGTGTAGGTCACGTCAATTCACTCCGACATCTCTAATTCACTTTATTTTTTATTAGTGCCTAGTATAATATCAGAGTGTTCGGGCTGGTACGGGCGCAGTTTGGCTCCAAAAAAGATGAATCTTGGGATTTTGAAATTTCATTCCGTAAGGTTTCAAATGGTGTAGGTCACGTCAATTCACTCCGACATCTCTAATTCACTTTATTTTTTATTAGTGCCTAGTGTAATATCAGAGTGTTCGGGCTGGCACGGGCGCAGTTTGGCTCCAAAAAAGATGAATCTTGGGATTTCCAAATTTCATTCCGTAAGGTTTCAAATGGTGTAGGTCACGTCAATTCACTCCGACATCTCTAATTCACTTTATTTTTTATTAGTGTCTAGTATAATATCAGAGTGTTCGGGCTGGTACGGGCGCAGTTTGGCTCCAAAAAAGATGAATCTTGGGATTTCCAAATTTCATTCCGTAAGGTTTCAAATGGTGTAGGTCACGTCAATTCACTCCGACATCTCTAATTCACTTTATTTTTTATTAGTGTCTAGTATAATATCAGAGTGTTCGGGCTGGTACGGGCGCAGTTTGGCTCCAAAAAAGATGAATCTTGGGATTTTGAAATTTCATTCCGTAAGGTTTCAAATGGTGTAGGTCACGTCAATTCACTCCGACATCTCTAATTCACTTTATTTTTTATTAGTGCCTAGTGTAATATCAGAGTGTTCGGGCTGGTACGGGCGCAGTTTGGCTCCAAAAAAGATGAATCTTGGGATTTCCAAATTTCATTCCGTAAGGTTTCAAATGGTGTAGGTCACGTCAATTCACTCCGACATCTCTAATTCACTTTATTTTTTATTAGTGTCTAGTATAATATCAGAGTGTTCGGGCTGGTACGGGCGCAGTTTGGCTCCAAAAAAGATGAAACTTGGGATTTTGAAATTTCATTCCGTAAGGTTTCAAATGGTGTAGGTCACGTCAATTCACTCCGACATCTCTAATTCACTTTATTTTTTATTAGTGCCTAGTGAAATATCAGAGTGTTCGGGCTGGTACGGGCGCAGTTTGGCTCCAAAAAAGATGAAACTTGGGATTTTGAACTTTCATTCCGTAAGGTTTCAAATGGTGTAGGTCACGTCAATTCACTCCGACATCTCTAATTCACTTTATTTTTTATTAGTGTCTAGTATAATATCAGAGTGTTCGGGCTGGTACGGGCGCAGTTTGGCTCCAAAAAAGATGAATCTTGGGATTTCCAAATTTCATTCCGTAAGGTTTCAAATGGTGTAGGTCACGTCAATTCACTCCGACATCTCTAATTCACTTTATTTTTTATTAGTGTCTAGTATAATATCAGAGTGTTCGGGCTGGTACGGGCGCAGTTTGGCTCCAAAAAAGATGAATCTTGGGATTTTGAAATTTCATTCCGTAAGGTTTCAAATGGTGTAGGTCACGTCAATTCACTCCGACATCTCTAATTCACTTTATTTTTTATTAGTGCCTAGTATAATATCAGAGTGTTCGGGCTGGTACGGGCGCAGTTTGGCTCCAAAAAAGATGAAACTTGGGATTTTGAAATTTCATTCCGTAAGGTTTCAAATGGTGTAGGTCACGTCAATTCACTCCGACATCTCTAATTCACTTTATTTTTTATTAGTGCCTAGTATAATATCAGAGTGTTCGGGCTGGTACGGGCGCAGTTTGGCTCCAAAAAAGATGAATCTTGGGATTTTGAAATTTCATTCCGTAAGGTTTCAAATGGTGTAGGTCACGTCAATTCACTCCGACATCTCTAATTCACTTTATTTTTTATTAGTGCCTAGTATAATATCAGAGTGTTCGGGCTGGTACGGGCGCAGTTTGGCTCCAAAAAAGATGAATCTTGGGATTTTGAAATTTCATTCCGTAAGGTTTCAAATGGTGTAGGTCACGTCAATTCACTCCGACATCTCTAATTCACTTTATTTTTTATTAGTGTCTAGTATAATATCAGAGTGTTCGGGCTGGTACGGGCGCAGTTTGGCTCCAAAAAAGATGAAACTTGGGATTTTGAAATTTCATTCCGTAAGGTTTCAAATGGTGTAGGTCACGTCAATTCACTCCGACATCTCTAATTCACTTTATTTTTTTTATTAGTGCCTAGTGAAATATCAGAGTGTTCGGGCTGGTACGGGCGCAGTTTGGCTCCAAAAAAGATGAATCTTGGGATTTTGAAATTTCATTCCGTAAGGTTTCAAATGGTGTAGGTCACGTCGATTCACTCCGACATCTCTAATTCACTTTATTTTTTATTAGTGCCTAGTGTAATATCAGAGTGTTCGGGCTGGCACGGGCGCAGTTTGGCTCCAAAAAAGATGAAACTTGGGATTTTGAAATTTCATTCCGTAAGGTTTGAAATGGTGTAGGTCACGTCAATTCACTCCGACATCTCAAATTCACTTTATTTTTTTTTATTAGTGTCTAGTGAAATATCAGAGTGTTCGGGCTGGTACGGGCGCAGTTTGGCTCCAAAAAAGATGAAACTTGGGATTTTGAACTTTCATTCCGTAAGGTTTCAAATGGTGTAGGTCACGTCAATTCACTCCGACATCTCTAATTCACTTTATTTTTTTTATTAGTGCCTAGTGAAATATCAGAGTGTTCGGGCTGGTACGGGCGCAGTTTGGCTCCAAAAAAGATGAAACTTGGGATTTTGAACTTTCATTCCGTAAGGTTTCAAATGGTGTAGGTCACGTCAATTCACTCCGACATCTCTAATTCACTTTATTTTTTATTAGTGCCTAGTGTAATATCAGAGTGTTCGGGCTGGTACGGGCGCAGTTTGGCTCCAAAAAAGATGAAACTTGGGATTTTGAACTTTCATTCCGTAAGGTTTCAAATGGTGTAGGTCACGTCAATTCACTCCGACATCTCTAATTCACTTTATTTTTTATTAGTGCCTAGTGAAATATCAGAGTGTTCGGGCTGGTACGGGCGCAGTTTGGCTCCAAAAAAGATGAAACTTGGGATTTTGAAATTTCATTCCGTAAGGTTTCAAATGGTGTAGGTCACGTCAATTCACTCCGACATCTCTAATTCACTCTATTTTTTGTTAGTGCCTGATAATGTTACTTTATATTGTCCCTTTTTGGAACAAAATGGTAAGCCGACTACTAAATGATACTAAAGTTGCTGTGATTACTATAAAGTGAAACATGTTTTCAAATCGCCCTCACTCGTGACTATGCTTGCAGCTTTATTACTTTCACTGACAGTTTCTCTTTCCTCCGCCGACATCAAAAGTGATCATGAAGTGACGTCATTGCCTGGACTCGAGTGGCAACCATACTTCAAGCATTACGCTGGCCGTCTCAATATTTCAGAGACAAAAAGCTTGTCTTATTGGTAGGAAACCAACAAAGCGTTTATAATAGCTCTGATATTTGTGATCCGACACCGAAGCCAATAACAATTTTACAACTTCTTTTTCAGGTTGATCGAGTCTCAAAACGACAAAGATAAGGATCCCTTGTTGCTATGGTAAGTCGCCCTGCATTACCCCGACAATAAACATTTCAGGATGAACGGTGGTCCTGGCTGCTCTTCCTTCTTTGGCCTTCTTCAAGAGCATGGGCCATTCCTACTGTCTGAGGAAAAAGATGATCTTAAGCTCCATAAAAACCCCAATGCCTGGAATAATGTGAGACTACAGTTTCCTCTTAAATTGGTTCATTTTTAATTGTATTTTTTTATTTTTTAGTTTGCTAATGTTGTTTATCTTGAAACTCCGGCGGGCTCTGGATTCTCCCTGAACACAAACTATAGCGTCTCCCAGCTAAATGATAATGTTGTAAGCTCGCATTACGACCTTCTAAAAGCTCGGATTTTAAGACAGCCGAAGACAATTTGAATTTCCTCCACCAATTCCTCGAAGCGTACCCGGAATACAAAGGACGCGACTTTTATATCACTGGCGAAAGCTATGGCGGTTGTCTGGTTCCGACATTTGCCAATCATGTCTTGCTGGCCAAGGAGAAGATCGAACTGAATTTTAAGGTCGGTTTTTGAACGAAGGACAACTGCCGGGGGTGATGACAAACCTTCGGCTTCAGTTGATCATCACAAAAAACATTTGTTGAGATTTCAGGGAATTGCAATGGGGAATGCGGTGACAGATAATCAGTGGAGCAATTACAAGGAAGTCTCGCTGGCTTTGCATGGAGCCTCGCTCACGCTTCCAGTACTGGGCCAGTGGATGAGAGAGTTTTGTCCTAGTGGGTTTGACAATCTTTGTAAAGGTGGACAAGTATCAAAAAAGACAGTAAAACTGGGGGAAATTTATGCAAACATGATGAGTAATGTAAATAAGGACCACTTTATCAATGCGTACGACATTAACCGACCATGCAACGGCATTGATAACCTCGGGAAGTACCTAAACCAACCAGAAGTTCAGAAGGCTCTTCATTTGGCGGTTGATGGAACTGCGGTTAAATGGCAAGAGTGCAACGAGTAAAGGCGGCGGTCGCTTCTTAGGTATAAATGTATACTATTTTAGCGGCATTTATCATCATTACAACGTTTGCAAGGACATTACGGATGACGTTAAGAACATACAGGAAAACAATCTCAAGATCCTCTACTTCTATGGGGAGACAGGCAAGTGAAAATCTCTTTTAAAAACCTGTTTTAGATACCGTATGCCCTTTTATAATTGGTGATCTGTTTACCCACAAAATCGGAAAGAATCCCAAGACAGCACCCTGGTTTTTTGATGATCTTTATGCTGGAACAAGGACAACTTTTGACGGAAATCTGACTTATACAACAATTGCTGATTGCGGGCACATGGCTGCCGCATGGAAGCCAAAACAAACCGCCAGAGCTGTTCATCACTTCATCAACGATATTAGCGATTGGAACAATTGAAGAAATGTATCCTCGAACAGCATTTTTTTGATTTTTCCAGCGGTCATAAGATTTTTTGTAATGGTAATAAATAAAATTAATCGCAATAAGCTTTCCCATACATATTAGCGTTCATAAGCCTTAACCAATCGACTTTTTTATGCAGCGACAGCCTGTATTAAGTCACTTTATTCAAACGCCAACCGCTGGTCTAGCGCCAAACAAATAATATCCGATAACTGATCCCAGTGCCAACGACAAGCAAAGCCATAACGAGAAGACCATATAAACCAGCATCACCAAGTTGCTCAAGATCCATTGGCCCACAAACAAAGCAGTAATCAGCAGATATTCCGGGGTGGCTAATCGCTCTCCGAATGCCTTTGTTGAGCTAAAGTTTCGACATAATTTTGTATAGCAATCAAGTTCTTACATTTTTCTCAAGCTCTTCTCTTCAACCACGGATTTTTGATACTTGACAAACTCGACGGAAATCGCGAGTAACATAGCGATGAGACAGCTGATTACCATGTCTAAAAATGAAAATAATGGTACAGAAAAATGGTGTATACCTCCGGGCGAAGTGACATGCCAAAACTTGAACAAAACCGTGTCATTCAAGAGCGTATGGAAGTACATCCACATCATCTTGGAACTGAAAATATTTTATTTAAAAATAGGACGCTTTCAGAATTCGGAAAGGCCCGTAAGTATCATAGTTAGCGAGGAAATAATAAGCGAAGTATTGGGGTCATTCAGTCAATATTTTTAAACAATATTGGACTTCGAGCCTCAGGCAATTCCTCAGATTTTCATCTCTACCTCGAAGAAAAAATAGCCCCAAATTTTCCTTCACTTCAGATACAAGAGACAGAGGAATTCAAGTTTTTTGCGTCATTTTTCCGAGATAGTACTATGAGCGATAACACTGCGAACAGACAAAAACGCTTTAATTAGTGATTAATCACAAACTTGACGCCAAAGTAGAAGTTCCTGCGCCCACATTAATGAACTCTTTATGATCACCCTGCCCAAAATCGCGATTAATTTTTCAACTTCTAATTTCCGCAACTTTAGGAGCCACAAAATCGAAACCCAGGATCTCTGTGGAATTACAAACACAAAGAAAATCTCATTTTTGACCTTATTATTTCCCTTAAACTTCGTTTTCAAAATCGATTCCTCCAAAGGTTCGCTGGTCTCCGCCATTTCCCCTTATCTTTATTTGTATTTACTGCCTGATATTTTCGAAAAGAGGTGCATCATTTTCATGGACAAGAGATGGGAAAAATGTTATCAAATTGTTTGAAAAGAATTTTGGGGACGTGCAAGCTTGATTAGAACAGTGCCTTGGGGATCTTCCATTGACTTTGAACTTGATCATTCGGAATTTCAGAAAGAGTCTGGCAAGATGATGTGGACATACTTTCACACGACGCTAAACGATGACGTTCTATTCAAATTTTGGAGAGTTCAGACTGCTGGAGGTTAGTATGAACTTCTTTTTGGCATTCCTTTTTAGACATGGCAATAACTTGCGCAATTATGTTCTCGCTGGCATTTTTCGTCGAATTGCTGAAGCATATCCGCGGACAAATTGAGCGCAAAGCATATTTAGACTGGTAAGCTATAATAATAGAATCAATATTGTCATCACTTCTCACTTGTAGTACGGCAAATTCGACCTACTCATCGAGACTTACCCGGCCTTCCCACCTCCTCCAAACCGCCCTTTTCTTTGTTCAGTTGATCTTCAGCTACATGTTGATGTTGGTTGTGATGACATTTTCGCTATGGCTAATTGCCGCGATCCTGCTTGGAACCGGACTAGGACAATACATATTTGTCGCCAGAAGCATTGCAGACAGCTCAGGGCATCCAGCGCTAGCTAATGCGGGATTTTAGAAGTTTACAATAAAGGATGACATAAAACGACTGCTAATTTTGCAAAAAAAGGCATTTAAACCGCTGAAATGTTGTGTTTAAACATTGTCTAATTGATTTAGCATATAGCATTTGCCTAGACATCAGTCCTAATCATGCCAATGCCCCACCATATCATGATGATCATGACCTTTCACTTCCGGATCCAGGAATATATTCTTTTCAAGGAATGGGTCCCTCAAAATGTTGTTCGTAAGTTTTTTAATCTTTCAAGTCATTCGACATATGCTATACTTCTTTTAGAATATGTCTTCTCCTGCCTGGCCATCGTTGCCTTAGGCGTTTTATACGAATTGATACGAGCTGGAAGACTTTTTTTGTATAGAAAAGACGCAGGAGGAGTAAAGGTAAGTGAAAATCCAATGGATTCTAACTTTCATAGCAGGTATTCAACTGCAAGGACGACGCAAACCCGGAAGGGTGCGTGGACGACTGCAATTGCGCTAAACCGAAGACTTTCCGACCGTAAGCGACAAATTTTGGCCGAAAAAATCGAATTTTTGCAACAAGGATTTTGAATTCAGTCATAAAAACGTTTCAGATTCTCTCCAAATGTCCTTCTCAACAAGTTCCATCAAGCTCAATCGCTTCTTCATGGGTCTCAAGAATTCCTCGGGCTCGCTTTGATGTTGATCACCATGAGTTACAATATTCCGCTTGCTTTGTCCGTTGTGATCGGGCAGGTTGTTGGATTCTTCATTCTCAATCCACTCTTCACGCCACAAGAACATTCTCGAGTCGGCCAATGCTGTTGCAGTTAGAAAATCGAATAAATTTTCCAATGAAAACACATTTCATCGTATAAAATAGCTTTACGCGAGCTGCGCCCAAATTATTTTATTTTTCTTACGGAATTCCTCTTGAATTCAGTTGTAGTAAAGTCAGTTTACGAAACCGGTGAAGAATAGTGTACATAGTTGTATTTAGAAGAGTTCTATCAATTTGTTTTATGGAGAAGGTAATAACACCGGTTTATGTTTTCCAACTACCTCCGAAGGTTGTTTGGGGACTTGGCGACATATTAGATGGAGGAAATCTGTGGGAAGAGATTGGTATGTAGACTTTTGTTGATTCTTCTTTGAATTTAGAGTCATCTCTTATTTGTTGAACAATGTTTTCTCTTGGATTCTATATTTTTTTCCTCTTCCTGCCTTTAATTATATTTTTCAGCTAAGGCCATGCCTGATATCAAAGCCATCGACATTGAAGCCTGCAGACGGACGGAAAAGCCAACCGAGAGTCTGCTGCGAGTTTGGGGAAGCAAAGGATATAAAGTTTTGGACTTGTTTAAAGTTTTCGGCCGTTGTCAATTCGTCCGGTGTTTAGATCTCTTAAAGCCTTATGGTAAGTAATATTTATTACGTTCTTATGTTCTTAGTTGATCCCAAGTTCCACAACATTACGATGTCCACGGAGAAATCGGTGTTATCTCCTCGGTCTACACAACCAAGTGAACCAGTGAATAGGTTGGATAATACCCAGCCATCTACGGTGTATTCGAAAAGAGCTCCTAGTCAGATAGAGCCCTTATTGCTTAGTGAAGGGTAAGGAAGCGATTTTATATCTATCTAGTTGATTTTTCAGCTTGAATTGTTGATTTAGTGTGTTACACTTGAGTGCTTTCAGTGATTCTGTTCAAAGTTCCAATGAAATCTTTAGTGGTCTCCATACAATTCCAGCAATTAAATACGAGGACATTCAAGACATGACGGGCAATTTTGCGGTGGAAAATGTCTGCGGAAAGGGTGGTTACGGAGTTGTATACCGAGGAATGTGGAAGCATATGCCGGTGGCTGTAAAGAGGATTCAAGCGAGGAAAGGAGGGCAATTAGAGGTTGGTTTATTTGCTTTCTGTTCGCTTAGTTTGATTTTTAGCACCAAAAAGAGAGGATAAGACAGAGTTTGCAAGAACTACGGCATCTCTCCAAACTTCGGCATGATAACATCTTATCCCTGTATGGCTATTCAATGGACGGTCCTGAGCCTTGTCTGTTGTATCAGTTTATGCCCGGAGGGTCTTTGGAGGATAGGCTTTTGTGCCGGGTACGCTTAAAATGGCTCTTCCGTTGTATTGTATTACAATTTTTGGCATAACTGATGAAAAACTTTTTCAGAACAACACTCCACCTTTATCCTGGGAGACAAAGATGTCGATATCGGTCGGAGCCGCGTTGGGACTCCATTTTCTTCATACGATTGGAACGGCCCCGATCATTCATGGAGACGTGAAATGCGCGAATATTTTGTTGGACAAACATTTGGAACCAAAATTGGGAGACTTTGGATTAAGCAGAGATGGCCAGGTGGAGCTGGATGCTGATGATAAATCACCAATGATTGCGTCACACATCAAGGGAACCTTGGCTTATCTGCCGCCGGAGTTTACGAGGAGGTTAGAGAGGTTTTTATGTTAGTGATGACTTATTGAATTAGTAATTTTTGTGATGTATGAAAATATGGTTGCACATATAAGAGTATTTACAGCAAGATCCTGACCACCAAGTTGGATGTCTACAGTTTCGGAGTTGTTCTTTTAGAAGTCGCGACAGGTAATACATAATCTTTTCTTTTTGTAATCAATTTTTTGTTAGGTAATGCTGAATATTCATGTCGAAATTTTAGGCCAACGCGCCTATTCGGACAACCGAGAACCTCATGGATTAGTCAGTTTTGTCGCCAAACGATGTCATGAATTAAGAAGGCGGTCAAACTTTGAAGAGGAGTTGATAAAAGAACTTGCAGATAGAAGAGTAGCTGTCACGAGAGAATGTAAGATTTTTTTGTTGTGTTTGGACAATAATTTTGTTCGATTTAGCCCCTCAAGAAGCAGTATTCCGAAAGCTTTTGCATTGGGGATCCTTGGCGTCCGTGGAAGATCGATTAAAACGACCGGCCTTCTCTGAAATTGTTGTTGCGTTACAGGAGTGAATGGTATTTATTTTGTACATAGTTTGTAAATAATATGTTGTTGAAGTAAAGTAGTTATTGGAAAATTTGTTTTGTTTTTGTTGATATTGAATTCTTGGTTGATTTTGCCGATTCCTTATTTTTTTAGACTGAAATCTCCGTTGATATCAATCTGTCGGGAAAATAATGTGGTTTTGTCGCACCAAAATATCAAGCCTCGCCGCAGTTGCGCACTAAATCCCTAGCCGCGGCTTGCTATCGCAAAGCTATGACGTTGCGCCTTCTTGATCGTGTAATTTTTCCGACGGAGTGATAAATAAGGTGAAAATATATTTTGCTAATTCCGTCAAATGCTTTTGCCTTAAATTGACTTTTAATATGAGTTAGGGAGGAAGTTGCAATCTCCGATTCCATCAGATAAGTCTTCTTCCTCTTGAAAACACTGATTTTTTTTGATTGCGTACGTCACACATCGGAAGTCACTGTAGCGTTTCATTTTCTCGTCAAAGAGCTCGACTGGCCCTCAAATTTAATAACTCTCTTGCCAATGCATTGAACTGACCTAAAAATCTTATGTATGTGAGTCGGCTACGACTGTCTGGTGAGCCGTTTTTGAGATCTCCGGCCAAAAGAACCTTTGGCTAGCCATTTGGCGGGTTTACCAGGAAATTCAAGACACCATCCAAATGATTCATACTTCATAATTTCTCATACAGGTTATTTTCCCTAATTTTCGTTTCAGTTCATCCATCCCTCCACTCATTCCTTTTCTTTTTAATTTTTCATTACTCCCATGTATTGTTCGATAAATCCTTACGTTCGAAACGGCTAATCAGCTTATCAGTTGCGTGATAAACAGAAACCGAGCGCCGAGGGGGAACCGGTTCCCATCCAGGATAAGTGAAACCGCCCGCAAAACAAGATGTCTGCCGATAACGTTTCTTTTTCCAAACGCTGGACGGGTTTCCCCCATTTTTGATTACCGGATTGTTTCAAATCCGCTTTGTAATTGATATGAAGTCCGTTTATGAGCTTCATAATTGGATTCTCATCGAAAAAGGTTGTTTTTTGATAACTGAACGCGCTATCGTTCAAGTATAAGATGAAACTCAAGAAAACCCAATGAATATAGAAAAACCGTTCGAATCGTTTATTTTCACCCGCAAGTTTGAAGCGATTATTTAACAAGAAGAAATTATTATCCGGCGACATTTTTGGGCCACTGCTGCTTTCCCGTCTTTGGTGGCTTTGGTTTTGCTGCTGAATCCCCGGTAGAATTAACATTATTTACAAATACATTGGGGGCTGGAAACGAAACGAGACGATCAGTCGGGCATGGGGTCGTATGAACAGGAGGGGTTGGTGGAGAGAGTTATTAAGAGAATAATAACCGAGTTTGTGTAGAACGCGAAGTTGAGGCCATGAGCAACATCAAAAGATGTCCAGTCGAAGCCAACTCCGTCACCGAGTTGTCTAGTATCCTGGAGGGGTACGTGGGGGAGGGCAGTGGGTACAGCTGCCTTGTTCTCCGGCTTCTCCAGCAACTCCGGGGGGTCCGGCAGGTCCGGGGTTTCCTTGAGGTCCGGCGTTTCCTGGGGCTCCTGGAGCTCCGGATGGTCCGACGGAGTTGGTTCCGTCTTGGCCGGGGACTCCCTTGGGTCCGGCGTTTCCGGGTGGTCCTTGGACTCCTTGGGGTCCGGCGGGGCCGTTGACTTGAACCAAACGTCCTGGAGCACCGACTGGTCCTGGTGGGCCGGGTGGTCCGACTGGTCCTTGAAGTCCGAGAGGTCCTTGGAGACCGGCTTCTCCCTTGTTTCCGTCCTTTCCGTTGTCTCCGGGGGCTCCCTTGGGTCCGCGGGGTCCCTTTTGTCCGGGAGATCCTTGGGATCCTGGTGGTCCGGGTGGGCAGATGATGCAAGGCTCTTGTGGGATGGCGCTCTTGAGGATTTGACCGTCACGTCCGTCAAGACCGTCTTGTCCGTCGCGTCCGTCCAGACCGGCATCTCCGGCGTCTCCGGGAGGTCCTGGTGGGCCGGGTGGTCCCTGTTGGCATGGGCAGCAGGCGGCTGGCGCTTCGGCCGCAATCACTGGACCATAGCCGCTGTTGGGGGAGGATCCACCGCTTGGGCCGCCGGCACTGTTGTACTGACGCTTGGCACGAGCGGAGCCGAAGCCCTGCTTGTGGAGGATGGACATTTCGGTGAACATGTCGCGGGCGCGGCCCTTGCAGAAGTCGGTCTCGATGACCAAATGGCTCTGGAAGCTGGCCACGTAGCTGTAGAGGAGTGGGAGAGTGATGACCGACGCGATCACCGCGGCGGTGGACACAACGATGGCGAAGAAAGCGACACGTCTCAGCTGACGGTGCTCATCGGTTTCTCCGCTGCCGTACTCGGCAGCCACGATCGGCTGTTTATACTCCATTCTGAGGCCGGTGCGCCTGGGGTGCGAACGGCTGGAAGAAAAGGTAAATTTGGGAAAAGGGAAGGTATTTTATACGCGATTATAAGCGTGGGAAATCAAGAATACGGTAACTTCACTTTTTTAGCAAGGAAGTTGAGCGGTCACGGTAAATAACTGATTTAAAACAAGCCAAAATTGGCGTGTCTAGTTTGCGAAAAATTTGGGGAATCTCTGACATCCCAAGCGCCTCCCGTATCCCGCTATTTACTCCGAAAGATCCCCATCTAATTTACCGCAAAGCCGACGCGAGTAAACCCGATGAAGTGCTGATTGCACAAGCCCGATACTATCCACCATTTCCGACCAGCCGCGCTTAAATACGCCCCAAGGGCGGGTGTAGAAAAGCGGGGTTTGGGTTTCTCCACCAACACCCATCCGCAAATCCCGTTTCAGCGCTTCAACCAGTCCATGAAGACGTTTTTTGCGCAGCGAACGCGGCCTTCGCGGAGAGCGCGCAGGGAGCGCGGGGATTCAGCGACGAACTCATCAACGAAAGCTTCCGAACGAGTCGCGCTGGTGATAAGGAAAGCCGGCGTTGATAAGTGATGGTTACGTGATCCGCTGAAGAGACGTAAGACCGATTAAGGAGTTCAAGAGATATCGGGCGTCGGGGAGAGTGGGTGGACTTCAAAGAAGATCCTGTTGACTTTTTGGCAACGAAAAAAGGAAGGAAGCGATCGAGAAATGCGAAAAAAATCGTCTGTTGGATGAGTTAAAGGGCGTGTTAACGCGCCGATTACTTCCTCGAAAAAGGATATTTACTAGTGATTACAAAAGAACGAGATGATCTATTGTAATCGTTACCGTAACCGCGATGATGTATGTCTCTAATCGTTTCGCATTACATTTCCTTCAATAAACTTTACCTTACTAAAACCTCAAAAAACAGTATCCCATTTAAAATTATATCATTTATTTTGAAGAATAAACAAGGCCATATAAAACTCAATAGGAGAATACAGTTCAAAATAAGAGTATATCAATGCTTACATGGAAGCCTTAGGGGGTTCATCTAGTCATTGGGGCTCGGCCAATCCAATAACACCGCAGGCGGCGCGGGCTCCGGCATTTCCAGTCTTGAGGGACTCTTCCTTCTTGTCCCCCTGGCCTCTTCCCAGATCATCTTCGCCGGCGTGGATGACGAGAGAACGTCCAACAACATTGGTTTCGCCACTCAGAGAGATGACCTTATCCACGAATGAGAACTTGGCCACACCGCTGGCATCGGCTTCCACATTTCCAAGATCGCCGGCATGACGGTCGGAATCCTAAAAAGAGAAAGCCTCTTATTCAAGCCAAGCCAGATTATCCGCAACTTTTTACAAATTTTGATTTCTCAGATCTAAATTAAAAACAGTATCAAAAATTGCTTACCTGTGGTCCAGCATGAGTCTTCTTGAAAGGGTTGAAGTGAGGTCCGGCGCTGATGCACCCGTTGGTTCGGTCGCCCCATTGATGAACATGGAATCCGTGCTTTCCTGGGGTCAATCCCTTAATCTCACCATCGACTTGCACTCCTCCGTCTTTCTGAAAAAACAACCGCATAAGTCCTTATAACCTCCGCTTATATTATTGCATAATCTCATCACCTAATATAAAAACAAAAAATCTAATCAAGTTTTCTGTGCTCAGCACCTACCTGAGTAAACCAGACAACTCCAGAGACGTTGGAATCTCCTTGAAGAATAGCGACGGCTCGGTTGGACATAGTTGCTGCACTGACCTGAAAACAAACACTGGTGATCGAAAATATTGCTATTGATATTGACTGAACGGGAAAGTTAGTTTGATCGGCAATTTACAAAGATAGTTAACATTCGAGAACAATCGATTGAGAACTGTTTAGAACACAAAAATAAACAAGATGGGTCTTTAGGGGGGACTTAAAAATCATCATCTTTCCCATTTTTTGGAACTACAAAACACGTTATTTGGAGGGTTTTTGGTGTAATTCGCTCTCGACTTCTCTCCGTTGTAAACATTCTAAGCTTCCTGTTATCACTGGCACACAAAAACGAACACAATAAAATAATCTCTAATAAAAGATCGTTTTGAAGGAACAAACTACAGGACATAAAAATATAGCTGTTCTGAAGAACCCCTTATTGTAAAAGATTGTTCATACCTAAAAGTCATATCCAAAAAATTTAAATCCATTAACATTACATTTGACAAATCAGACTCTCAACACCTCGACCCCAACCCTTTCAAAATAAACATCAATGGAACTGTTTCTCTCTCCCAAAGGATTGCAAAAGAATGTTTTTATTTCTCTCGCATTGAAAACAGTAAACAAGTTGAGAAAGAGCAGGAGCTCACTGACCCTCCAAAAAAGATGGCCTTATGTTAGTAAAATCTAAAGGAACTAGCGTAGAACCAAGCAAAGATCGCTTGTTGCATAATTTTGCAGCAGAAAATTCGAGAAACCCTAATGAGGAAGGTTACCTTACCTAACGAGTGATAAGATAATATCGGTGGTTGTCCGATAAGATGCCCGACAGAAAACGCAAATGCAAATCATACTTCTAATGCCATTATAAAGCTTATAAGAGAAAATGGAAAAAAAATCAGCGATAGCATCAAGAGATCTTGCCATATTCACCATAATAAAGGTACCAAATATCAATGATCCCGCGTACATCCAAAAAAATCAAGAAATCAATTTTCTCTTTTACCCCCGGTTGAAGAAGCCCATTGTTCTAACATTTTAGCTGATTCCTTGCTTACTACTCGCTTCATACTGAAACTGCGGTTGCATTTCCCTTTCTGGTGGAATAAAGACAGGAAAACAACTTGAAACCTCACAAACTTTCGACAAATTCACGCAAAAACTCAAATTAAGCCCATTAGTCCACCTAAAACAATGTGAATCAAAGTTAGAACAGGAACAAGTAACTTTCGAAACGGGCGCATACCTTGAAATAGCCAAAAATTGAAGAAAGAACCTCCATTGCCGACCAAAAACTCAAAAAATGAGTGCAAAAAAGAAGTGACACAAGAGCGGAAAATGGAACACCGTCCTTGGTATGCCCTCTGATGTTCTCGCGTTTGCAAACGTTCCTTTCGGCTGTTTCGCAAACGAATCTTGTTTACGTTTCTCCAATCTATCCGTTCTCTTTGGCCACTGCGCCCTCACGTTTTGCGAAACCAGCCGCGAACTGCGCCCGAATAAAAATTGTTATCATGGAACTCAAAGAGACCTTTTGATAAAAACAAGCTCTTATCGTCATTTATTGTCATGCGATAAAATTCTACGGCATTTTGTAAGACAGTTTCTTCGAGTAGCAGAATCCAATCGAAATATAGGTATTGTATGTTGTTCATGACCTTGTCCGAAGAAAATATTACCGAATTCTGACAGATATCTGGTTTATGACTTTGTGTGATCGCAAAATGCTTTGCCTAGAAAAATAAACGAGCAAGAAATAATTATTGTTAGTTTGGATGGCATGAAAGCCAATCAAAAACATTATTTTTTATTACAAGATACTGTAACTTATCCACAATTGTAATCACACAAAAAAAAGTACCTTCGACAATCTTCATTTGATGTAATTTCCTGCACATACGTTTTTGCATGCGTGATCGAGTGATAACAACCTTTGTGTAGCTTCTGCTCTAGTCTGTGCAGAAAAGAAAAGAGGCGCACAGTGCGTAATGCAAGGTATTTAGGGGGAGAAGATTCGTAACTTTCTCCATTAATTCCCAAATTTTATTCGCACTTACATAAATCATGTGCTGTCTTCTTCAGTGTGTGATGAGATTTTCATGCCCTTAGGGTGGAGATCAGGTTACCTGAACTTTCACGCTTCTTTTTTGTGAAAGCGAGAGGTTTAAGCGGACAAATAGCGGGTGCAAGACGTATATTTTGGAACATTCGGATTATCTTTGCTGTGAATGTTTCAATTCGGGCTTTTTTAAAGTATTTTACCGTATTTTAGGGCTTCAAATCGAGTTTTTGCCCACTAAAACGTCTAAAGTAATATGATTTTACTTTTTAAATTTACCTGTCTGAACATAAAGCCCGTTTTGAGTAAAATGGTGTTTGTTTTGAATTTTGCACCTCTTACTTAATTAGCCCAGAAGACTTAATTTTGTTAATTTTGAACGGGTTCAGACTCTTTCATCAGCGAATTTACGAGTTTCCCCCCACCGCAGTCGCGCCGATCGTGGTTTACATCGATTGGAGGGAGTTCTCGACGCAACACTCTCTCCCGAAGAACCTTCGTTCTTGCACCCATCTCGGTTTTCCTGTAAGGGTCGGCAGACTTTTTCTCGTGCCCGTCTATTGTAATATAAACCGCGAGCTTTTGTAATATTCGTGGGGTGGCGGGGAGATCGATGATGGAAAGAGGTCGTAATGATCTATACGTTGGTCGTTGTGACCGACGGTGCATTTTGGAAGGCTTTTTAGGCTTATCGGTATGGAAAATTAAAGACGGAAGGCGTTTTTGAAAGGAGAATTTGAGGGTTTTTTAAATAAAATCGTCGTAACTACATAAAACTTTCTGATCGTGAGGGAATTTGACTGTATTTAGCCCTCGGAGACATCAGTTTGTTGTAGAAATTAAAAAAAAATCATCCTTTTGGAAGATTAGGCTCATTTTGGTCCCAACTCCAGTTTTGTCCTCACAATTTTTTGGGGTTTAATCTCCAGGCCGATTTTGTCTCCTCATTTTTAGTTACTCATTCCCCTGCTTGTTTTGACCAAAAGTCAGCGAAACTTGGGCGATGACGGACCGCGGTATCTTGGCCTAACAATAGTCAAACCCCATCTTTTATCGAGAATTTCTCTTTTAAAATCCGTTACAACCGTAAACCTTGGATAATTCAGCAAAATGTCGCTTCTTGGGTTGATTATACTAATATCCGGAGCGTCCTTGGCCTGTGAAGCCGGTCATGTCCTCATTTCGCCCAGTTCTTTGGAGCCAGTTCATCGGGAAACAATGAAACCACTGGCCGAAGAACTTATCAAACGAGGTCATCAGGTCACTTGGTTCGAATATGGCCTCCAAAAAGTAAGCCTGCAGATCCAATTAATCAGCATGTTACATTCTAGCCCCAGAAACAATTTCAAAAACCCTTTTTAGTCATTATGAAATCATCTTTTTTTAGCCCACAGACCCTCTTCCCGCCAAGGTGAAAGAGGTTTATGTCGAGGTCAGCGTGCCGGATCAAGGATTATACGATCTTTATGTCCGCAAAAATCATTCCGAATTCAAACGCCAATGGGATCCCGAGTATTGGAGTGACAATGAACGCCGGGATCACTGGATCAACTCCGTCAAGATCTGCGACCGTGTGTTGAGTGATAAGAAATCGAGGGCGATATTCGATAAACTGGTGAAGACCACTTTTGATGCGGTGGTTGTTGATGACCTTTACAATCCATGTGGACTGTTGCATACTGGTGAGATTTGAATTTTGAGGGTGAAAAATTTACTTCAAATTTCCCTGCTTCTCTTCTACTTTTATCATTGGTTAAAATAAGGTATTTTACCGTGACTTTTAGCCCTTCAAAAGTCAGTATTCGTATACTGGTCCATAACCGGTCTCCGGACAGAATCAGCATGGTCCCACCATTCCCCCAGCCCTCCCAGTTACATTCCAGCCCCCGGTTCTGGTCTCACCGAAGAAATGGATTTCCTGGAACGCTCCAAAAACCTGGCCCAATACGCCCACAATTTGTACACCCATCACAGAGTGGTTCTCCCGTTGGTCGATGAATTGGCCAAGAAACATTTCCTGAATCACAAATTGCCCGAGGCGTTTTACATGGAAAGGAATGCCAGTTTGAACTTTGTGAACCACTTCCCAATCTTCGACTTTGCCCGGCCTTATATGCCAAGAGTCAACTTTGTAGGCTGCACTCATTGCCGAAAGGCCAAGCCATTGGATAAGGTGGGAACTAACTGATTTTAGAGTATAAATTAAATTTTTTCCAGAAATTTACTGATTTCATTGCCAAATCGAACGAAGTCGATGGGTTTGTTGTCATCAGCTCTGGCCATTCCGCTCAATGGAAGCATGCCCCAGAAGATGTTATTCAGAATCTATTGGCTGCTATCAAATCCAAGCCGAACATCCAATTTATCTGGCAATTCGAAGGCAGCCTCACGAATGCCCCAAGCAATTTATTGACTGTCAAATGGCTGCCTCTTCAAGATCTGTTGGGTCATAAACAATGTAAGGCTCACATTTCCCATGGCGGAGTCAACAGTGTAATGGAGAGTGTTTGGCATGGAGTTCCCGTGATTGGATGGCCATTGACCATAAATAATAAGGACAACTTGTTGAGGGTGACTGCTAGACATGCTGGGTTATTATTGAGTACAAAGAGGCCGAGTGAGAAGCAGATCATCTCGGCTTTGAATAGGATCTATGTTCAAACCTTCAAGGAAGAAGCGTTGATCTTCCAGGTAATTATTTAAACGAGTCTTAAATACCAAATTCAGGACATGGTAACTGATGTCCCATACACAGAATTAACTCATGCTGCATTCTGGGTTGAATTTATCATCCGCCATCAAGAAATTCCCCATGCTCGATCAGGAGCTGATGATTTGAATATTTTGCAATACTTCCTGGTCGATGTAATCGCTTTCCTATTGTCAACCATCACCCTCATCGTCTATATTATCCATCACACATTGAAACTCTTGGTCAGAGGGCTGATCTGGCTGGTGGTTAGCGCCTTCCGATACGCCTTCTCCAAGAAGCCTAAGGTGGATAAGAAAAAGAAAACCAACTAAACCTGTATATTTCCATTAGACTGTAGTTTTCGCATAACAAATGTAATATTGCTCAATAAATCGTAATATACATAGATTTGAGGGGTTATAATATACCCTCAAGATTGGAAAGCATACTAATGAAGATACCTATATAAATCTTTTATTGAGGACTTAATATTTCTACATTACAATCTACCGCGAGGCAGCCAGATCGCTAATGACGGCTCGGACTTGATCGGCGGACTTATTTTCCAATTCAACTACTCGTTCAACGCCAAAGTCGTACCTAAAACGAAAAATAATCAGTAAATCAAGTAAACGTTGTACAAAAAAATACAAACTCCGCGGGGACCTTTCCAATCTCCGATCAAAACTCGATAAATCAACCTGACACTTACTATGTTAAAGTAATCTGAGATAAATCATAAAATGTCAACACTTTAGTTACCTAACCAAATGCGGGAAGTTTCTAAAGAACTAAACGTCCATTCTAGTAAGCCTCACTCGACCCAAAGCAAAACCCTTACCGCAAGATTCAACTTCCTAAACAATAATCCAAAAAACAAAACGAACTCACCGAGCCCAAACCTTAGGTAGAATACCCGAACACTCTCTGATCAAGATCGGGAAATCAGCATTACTCTTCTTCAACGGGGCATATTCCTTCAATAAAAAGTCACGGACTCCTTTGCTTGCATCGGACTTTTGGCACAAATGAATTCGAAGCTCGCGGAGAGCGGAACCAGCCAACCGGATGCCGGACATCCTAAAAAAATATAAAATCATACGTTAGGTATGGCAAAGATTATATGTAAATCGCTGGCGAGTTGAATACGATAAAACGGTAAAGGAAAGTCGCAATATTAGACTTGCTATGAAAATCTCGCCAAAGAAGAAAATTTTATTTGACAAGCTGCGCCCGAGACTTTGGAAAAATCGCAAATTGAAGTTCCTGGTTTTTTGGCATCAACGCGTTTAGCTTGGCCTTCCGTTTCTAACGACTTTTTTCGGATTTTCGACGTGGAATTCTCGGAACAACAAGAACTGGTTATTTCCCACGAGAACAACCGGCTGAACTATGGTAAATTATTGATTGGACTGTTATTTTTCCTAGTTATTTATGGTATTATGGATAGTGCTGTAAATCAAGAGGCAGAAGCCCGCTTGGCGCATGCTAAAAAGCTTGTAAGTACTCGATTCGGTTTTGAATATGCAGTGTATAGTTGTCAAAGTTCCAAAATCGTCAAACTGAACAAAAGGAAGAGGTATCCAGTCGCTCTGCCAATAATTACACTCCAGAACAACAAGTATCGCAACATTCCAATCAGAGCTCTACGGTTTTTGTGAATACCAGCTCGTTAAACGGATCATTACATTCTTCGAGGAGTTCTTCGTTTGTGAATGTGGATCACGCTGAGCCAAGCATGGTAAGCGGTTTAAAATTTGTGCTGTTCTTGGTTTAGATACCTCAGAAAATATTTTCATTGCCTATAAATTGCAGAACGCCGAGATTACAAGCTTAAAAGCCGCGTTGGCTGAGAAGGACAAGTACCTCAATGAAACTACAACTAAATTGAATTCACTTGTACGTTTTGCCTTTTAAATATTTTGTTTTATGTTATACTTGAGGTCAAACAAAAACCTACGGTATATATTTCAGCATAATCACTATGTTCAAATCTACGAAGCCTACAATAAGTTGGTTGAGCAGAATTCGCAGCAGGGACGGTCAGAAGAGACAAACCGGCAGATCGTGCAATTACAAACGGCGTTGGCAATAGCGGTTCAGGAGAAGACCGCCTTACAGACTGAAGTTCGAAATGTAAAGGCTCATTCTAAAGCTCTTGACGCTGAGTTGGAGATGTTTAGGCATCGAGGAATCACCGGTAAGAAAATTGTCTTTCTTAAAATTGGATCCTAATGATCGAGGCCAATTTTATTACTTTCAGGTCCATCCACAGACAGTTTCAAAATAAATAGTTTGATGGAAGAGAATAAGAAGCTATCGGAAAGGGTGACAGCTCAAGCCGAAGCTCTTTCCGATCAACGAAAGGAAAATAGCGACCTCGAAGCCAAAATTGTTGTCTTAAACCAAGATAAAAATGACGTACAGGTAAGATTACTTTAAATTATTGAAATTTCCGTTTTTAGAATCGTCTGCGCTATGTTTATCAAGAGAAAGAAGGCCTTCAAGCTGCGCTAGATCAACTTCGGCATGAATTGGGAATGAAGGAAATATATATTCGACAGTTATCCAAGAACTTATCGGATAACGATGCTGGTCACACAATAGAAGCGTTTGCTGAGGAGAAGAAACGATTCGAAATGGAGATTGCAAAGAATAGAATGATCATTCAGAAGCTGACAGATGAGAATAATGGGGCAAAGCAATATTATAGTGAGTGTTTGCAACAAACAAAGGACAGAATTAGAGTTTTGGAAGACGAGGTGAGTCGGTTTGGATATTGTAGTAGGTACAAAATATGATGAGAAAGTTTGTTCGACCGTTTGTTGGTGTACTATGGCTCTTTGAATATAATTTTGTTATCGTTTTAGCTTCATGATTTAAAATCGAAGCATCAGAATGCAGAAACGGCCAAGTGCTATCTCCAAGAAGAACTGGAAATGTTCCGTCGCCAAACCCAACAGTCCCTCGTGAAGCGAGAAGATGGCAAAGAGATTCTCCAGGCTACTGTTGAGCCCATTTTTGAAGATAAAGTCGGTAAAGAGGAACATGAAGCCCTGAAGAACAGCCTGCAAAAATTGGAACACGAATTCAACGAGCAGGCCGCTTTAATCAGCGAACTGAACAAGGCCATTGCAGTGAAGGACGAAAAAGTAAACGAACTCTCAAATAATCTGGAGGAAAAGTCGAAAACTCTCCAAAGATTGAAGGAAGAATTAAAAAGAGATGAGAAACTGAATGCGGATTTCAAATCCTTGGCCGAGCAACTTCAGAATGAACGAGCGACCGTTTCGAGAGCTGTGGCACAGAATATGGACTTAAAAGAACAGTTGGGAGAACTTCAGGATCGACTCGTAGAGGTGACTAATCGATGCGCCGAGCAGGAAGATGAGAGACAAAGGGCTGTGGCCATGGTTAAGAACTTGAGCAAAAGGTTGGAGGAAATGGTAGGAGAAGAAAGTTTTGGTTTTATTCTTGATTTTTAGGACTCGAATGGAAACCATCAGGCATCCCAAAGTGTGGATGAATTTCAAAAGCAAGCTTACGATCTTCCGATTGTCCCAGAGTTATTAGAGAAACATATTGAAAGCATGGGATATCTCTCGGAAGATCATAATCGACAATTGATCGAGATTTCCAAGGCCATCAAGAGAATTGTGAGTGTTTTTGGGCATGTACATAATGATGAAATTTTCAATTTGGATATGTGAATTGTGAGTTTCAGATCAAGAAATATCATCCCCATACGGCTGCAGAGGAATTGGACCAGCTCACGGAACTCCCGGATATTATTGTTAATAGGCTCCCAAGTCATCATCATCAACATAATGGAACGGTTCCTCCTCCGCCAACCCCTAAAAACGATGCCTCAACAATGGTGGATCAAGATCTGGCCAAGAATCTCCCATCTCCAGCAGTATTGGAAACGGCCCTGCAAACGGCCGCGAAGGAAGCACTGGAGACGGAAGAAATGGAAGTAAACAATGAACAACACGAGGAAACGGTGGAGAGAGAAGATGAAGGTAAGGAAAGAGAGGTTACAAAATTGCTTATTTGGGATGGAGACTAAATTTTATTGGTTTTAGATCAAGCTATTAATGAGAATTCCCGACCAGAGAGCAGTCAATACATTGAGAATCCGAATTATTATGGAACCCCTCATCGTGGGAACTTGGAGATCCCTCATCCACACCCACATCCTCATTACCATGACCATCAATTCCCGAAAGTTGATAACTCCGACTCGGAATCGGATTCAGGTGATTCTGACGCCTCGGATTCGGACGCTTCCATCTCGCAAGCCGACGATATGAATGGCTCATTGGACCATTTCCTCCAAAACCCCGGCCCTGGAGAGACGGAGACAGTGAAAAGGATCAGAAAAGCCCTTGGGACGGCGATTGACACCCACAAAATGACGGAACTCGAAAATCAGAAGTTGAGAGTGGAAATACAACAGCTTGTGGAGAAAAACAAGCAGTTACAGTACTGGCTAACACATGTGGAAAGCGAAAATGAAAGCATCGGAGATTATATTCAACTGTATCGGATACAGAGAGAAAAGATCAAGGAGAAGTTGAAGGAACAAGAACAAAATGCAGAGGATTGGAGATGTTATAGCGAACAGACAAAGGTGAGTTCAAAGTAGGGTCTAAAATAAGGTTATGAAAGAGAAATTAAGGAAGGAAACCCATTATTTTTGGGGGTTTTGGAAAAAGAGAACATTGGGTTTTATTATTTGAATATTTTTCGATTGAAAAATTGGACATGGGTATTGAAATTGCATTTTTTAGCAACAACTAATCCAATTTGTATCGATATTGGTGGGGACTCTGAAGAAAAGCTACAGAATTCATGCGGAGTTGGTGGATGAACCCTCGAAAGAAGAACGATTGGAAGCTTCTTTGGAGGAGGCAGGCCTAGTTGATAAAGATCATCAGAGCAGAGTTGAGAAAGAAGAGAAATACAGATCAGAATCACCGCAAGAACGGATTCATGACTCGCTGATCGAAGCCGGATTGGTCGATCCAGATAGTCCGGGTGATCGTCACAAGTCTCGAAGAGAAGATTTGGGCCCAGAACGACCTCCAGGCCCCGAGAACTGCGCCATCCATAAACTGATCCAGTTCCTGAATGAACTGAGGGAATCCGAACCCAAACCCGAAGATTTGAAACAATTTGCTAGCCTTATTCATGACGCCCCCGAACCCTTTGACCCTTGCCTTCATTGCTCCGAGTGCCGTGGCGCCATGAAACATCTATAGCCAACCACCGGTGGTTGTATCTAGTCCCCCAAGTGCCCTTTGTTTAGTCAATATAATCTATGATCATGTGTAATAAAGGTTAAATTATTTTTGAGAAATTAGTTGGTAGTGATAGTGGTGGGGTGGAAAAGCATTTCCAGTCTTCCAGACATTCGAAAATGGCATTGCAAATAGTTTTACCCGATACTTTTTCGGGAGCCGAATATGTTTGATCGTATAAAATGTCTATTTTTCGGAATAAATATTTTTTTGCGAAACAGATTTTGGAAGTGGAAATAAGGCGATTCAGGAGGCAGTGAACGTATTTTACGTCGTTTCTGGTAATACTATGGAGTTTATCAAAAAATTGGCAACAAGTTTATACGTAGGATAAGATTTTGATTTTTTCTATTCGGATTTTAGGGGCATTTTTTTGGACTCAGCCCTGAAACCAACAAGAAAATGGTTGACGAAGTTGAGCGTGAGAGGAAACGGGAAGGTGGGGAACTAGGTAGTGAGCCTGTTGATGCAGCAACGGCGTTTTATGAGAAGGTGTTGATGGAGCAGTTGGTGAAGGAATTTGAAAACGTCCAGCAGAATGGAAGATCGGAAGGCGACGTCGATAAGATTGTAAATCTTCTAGAGGCTTTTCCTGATCCTAAATAAATTTGTGTAAGTATTTTTTACAAGAATGGGTTTGACCCATTCTTGGTTGTAAATTATATTTCATTTTGTGCCGTGATTGTAAAGAATAAAAAAACTATATTATTCATATTACACATGACCAAGAAAGGCTTGAGATGGCCAGAAATTGCTTATATTAAACCTTAATACTCTTATTGCGGGAATTATTTGGCAGGGGAGCTTTCTGGCCGGTCAATTTTAAGGTTTTGCCTTAATTTTTTTCGATATTACCCGTTTCTTGCCCATGTAAACTTCTACTGAAGTTTCCAAGCCTTCAAAATTGCCTTCGTACTTTTCCATGTGTGTTTATCCCTGTAATCCTCTTTGCTAGCACTCGCGCACCTATCTATTATGTTATTCATGGGGTTTAATCGCTTTTCCTCATCCGAAGTATGTTTTCCACGCGCCCTTGACGAGGAAGTTTCGAGTTAATCGTCAGGTTTTTTGCTGCCTCACTGCGCGTAATTGAGTGATGTTTCAGATCCATTTCGACCCTGAAATTAATCCAAATTGGTTCCTGGGCGAAAATTAACTTGCTCTTCCACGCATTCCACCGTGTTTTTTGCTCGAACAGGGTTGGTTATACCTGGATTATTTGGTTCAAGTCGTATATATATAGTTGCAGATTAAGTAGACTCAATGCTAATTTTCGGACCTTGTTTTAGCCGTTTTATTTTTTGTCTTACAATTTTTCGTATCTCCCGCGTATTTTTGCTAATTTTGTTTGCTGAATCGTTTCAAAATCGTCTGTTTTAGCCATGGAATCCAAAAAGCCAAGGGCTCCAACACAAGACGAATCCTCAGAAGGTTGGCCGACCACTCTATTACATTCATTTGACTGCAAACAAGGGGCTGTTAGAGCTGTCAGATTCAATGGTAAGTTTACCAAAGCCCTGTAAATGACCTTTACGTCCATTTTAGTCGATGGAAATTACGCGTTGACTTGTGGCGCTGACAAAACAGTGGCTTTATGGAATCCCCTCCGACCCCTTTGTCTGCAACAGTACCGAGGTTGTGGAAGCGAGTTGCTCGATGCTTGTGGCTCCTGTGATAACTCGATGATCTTAGTTGGAGGTCGCGACAAACAACCGACCATTTTTGATGTGGAATCGGGGAAAATGCTGAAGCGATGGCGGGACCATGGAGGACCAATAAATGCAGTCCAATTTAATGAAGACAGTCGGGTAGCGCTGACGGCGTCGCAAGATGGAACGGTCAGATGTTTTGATGTGAGGTCGAGAGCACCACCGTTCCAGGTAAGGAGAGTTGGAGGCTTTAGAGGATGTAAATGGGATTTTCGGAGCAAAAAATGGCTTAAATTTTGGTGGAGAAGATATTAATGTCTTTCTTTTGCTCCAGGTCCTCGACGAAGCCACGGACAATGTCCTCAGTCTCTCCGTAACCAGCCATGAGATTGCCACCGGCTCGGCCGATGGCCATCTTCGTCTCTATGACATCAGAGAAGGCCGATTATTCATCGATTTTGTCGGTGAATCCGTGACCAGTGTGGCATTGTCCGACGATAATCAAACTTGTTTGGTCTCTTCGATGGATGGATTTGTGAGGTTGTTCGAGAAATGCAATGGAACTCTGTTGAATGAGTAAGTTTCTAAATTTTGATTCTAGAGTAATACAATTTTTCTATATTCTTTTTGTAGCTATTCCGCCCATAAAAACAAAGAATACCGAGTTGAATCGACATTCCTAGCCACCAACGATCAAATCGCCTCAGGCTCGGAGGACGGCCACCTTTATATTTATGATCTCATCAACTCCAAAGTCCTGGCCCGGCTCGATCACTCTCCAAATAAATTCGTCCCTTCTCTAGCGGCTCACCCAACAAAAACTGGACTACTTCTAAGTGCCGCTGGCCATAAAGTTTTTGTTTGGCGGGCCCAAAACGAAGACGATGAGGAGTATGAAGAAGTTGAGGTAAAAAAGTAAAAAAATAAATAAAAAGTGCAAGTGAAAAAAGTGTATAAACGATATTTTTGAAAGATAAAGTTATTCTGCAGACAGTTTGTGAAGTAGCCTTGAAAAAAATTTATTTACAAGTCCAATAAAACGTTGGAACGGCCATGATTTTTGAATTCAAACAATTGGTCTGAACATGAGCTGTAGATTCAGCTTCCCTCGGCTCAACAATATGCCCTCAGGGCATGTCAATTCGGCCAAGGTGAGACGATTATCCAATTCGAAAGCGAAATTGGAGCGGGATTTGGTGAAGGTTCGCTTGTTGACGAAAGTTCGGAGAATCTGAAAGAAAAAATTTGGTTACGGGTAAAATATTATACGTAACGAGTTTTGAGTTTTATTTCCGTGAATTTTCACGAAATTGATTCGGAAATTTTGAAGAAACTGGGCTAAACCCTTACCTGCTGATCATCCGTGACCATAAGCATAAATTCCACGGCCCTTTGTTGATCCATGTCCAGGGCACAGAGATCCACACTCAACTCCCTCGAGGCCCCCAAATAACTGGAAGTGGACGGGGCTGCGCGCAAGGTCAGTTGCCATTCCCAATGCGTTCGAGGGTAAGTGCTGGCCTTGGTCGTGAAATTGGCATGGAATTCATTGCGGTTTTGGAGCGCCTGACAGAGCTGGTCGCCATCGATGAGGATCCGTTTGTCCCAGCGATTGTCTTTGTACTCGCGGAGGACGTATTGGAGACCGTTGAAATCTCTGAAAAAGGAAAAGAAATGAAGTACAAATTGACTTATTTTGATCGCAAAAAACGAACAAGAATTACCTGCTAGCAGGTAATTCGAAGCAGGCCTGCTTCGTATAGACACAAAAATCAACTCACTCGCAACATGCCCGACTGCTCAATGGCATGGAAATGTATTTGAAAGCCTGATGGGTCAATGGTCTTAGAAAGTCCTCAAATTTTTTGAATTCATCGGAGATCTCCACTTCAGCCAATTCTTCGGCACTCATAAAAGGAAACCGTATTTTTGGGAGGATTTTCAATGCTAATGCCGGATCGTTGGCTCGATTTGGGTGCTTTGGAGATTTTAGCCAACGTCGGAACGCTTCCCATAATTCGAATTCATCTGAAATTTAGGAAGGTGAGATTTTTTGACGGATTTATTTTCATGATAGAATATCTTACAATCAAACTCAATTTTTTTTCAATCCGGAATTTCAAAAAATTGTAAAAATAGCCGGGACAAAAAGTCCTGATAATTTTGCACCGTGCGGGTTTGCACGTTTTGGGTCGTCGCTGCGAAAATCGCAAAAAAGTGCTTTGCACAGTGCATTTGACCCAAAAACACCTTTTGCACAGTGCATTTTGTTTGTTTTTGCCTTACGTCACGCGCGATTCCAATTTTTCCCAGCGACAATTTTTTTTCAGAGTGCGACAGAAAGCGCGCAAAAACCGCACGGTGCAAAATTATCTCAGCACTTTTTGTCTCGATTACCCTGATGGTTTCTGCAAATTAAATAAATTTTCTTTCAAAAGATTAATGTTTCTCCGTAGTTCCATCTAAATCTAAACACAAGTACAATTTTGACTTGTCATCTTTCCACAATTAAATTTTTTAAAATTATTTTTCCGCACAGTGCAAAAAATTGTATAATTTGCTTACTATTCAAGCTGAGCTCATTCGAATTGAGCAGTTCGATGAGTTGATCGCTATCCAGATTGAGCCAGTCCTCTTCCCAATCGCTGTTATTCGAAATGAGCTCGGCAAATTTATCGGCCACCCGGTTCACACATTTTTCGGTCAATTTCTCGTGGAATGTTGTTGTGGAATATCTGGAAATTAATTTTTTTACTCTCAGGTATAACATAAAATTCATGTTTCAAATTTTGCAAATATTTTTTTAACAAAAGGAACCCCTGGCGTGGGCGTATTTTACCTGAACCAAACGTGGATCAATTGCCTCAGGCACAATTGCGACAAAACTTTTTCCACGGCATATTCCACACAGACGTTCTGCAGGCCAAGAACAGCGTATTTGTCGGCCAAAATTAAGAGTGGAAGGACATTGTGGGAGTCCAAAACAATGTGATTACAATATAAAAAGCGAAGAAAATTGGCAAAAACCTTTTGACAGTCGCCGTCTTCGTTGAGAAGCAGTGCGTTGTCCTGAAAATATTTGTCCAAAATTAGAAAATTCAGAGGATCTCTTACTTCTTTCCGCCAATCATTTGAGAGCATTCGATCGAAAACTTCGCTGCTTTTACACAAAATTATTCGATGCGCTAGGAATCTAAGAATGTTTTTTATAGAAGGCTAGAAGTAAAAAAAGAAGATGGTATGAAGAATTTACTGACTTTTCCTCTCCCACTCGCAGTGTGATATCGCTGAGATGAGCATTGTTAAAATACTTGGCGAAGTCGTTCATCGAGTCCCGGTCATCCGCAAAACAGTCAGTTACTGGAAAGAATTGTGTAAAACGGATGCAAACGCTACAAACAAAATTGTCGAAAGTGCCATGCACTTTGCAATTGTGGAACGGGACATTTGTGACGTCATTTGTTTTTATTTTTTGGTCTACTTTTTTGATGAACAATTAACCGAAGTTACTGAATGGAAGATAAGAGGGCGGTTGAGGGATGTTGAGCCGGGTGTACAGCCAAAGGGGACCTGAGGTCGAGATGTCAGAGTTTGCAAAGCTTCTTGGATACCCAAGAATAAAAAAAATTTGAAAAAAATAAATTTGACCTTTTATAAATAACCTGGCAGTGTTATTTATAAAACACAAAATGATTACAGCGAGCGATTTATAAGTTTCCAGAAGTGTCCAATTTATGAAATTTTAAAAAAAATGTCATCTTCGTGGGCTCTTACAGATCTCATTCAAATTCGCTTTTGGTTCTACAAGTTGCTGGTAAAAGTCGGTAAAATGTTTTAAATAAATTTTTTTTGACGATTTTTTGAAAGTTCCTACATTCAAAACAATCTTTATCGTTCACCTAGCTCACAATTACATTTCAAAGTTTCACTACCAAAAACTCAGTAATACCAAGCCTTAAAATCAAGAATCTTCCCGCGACCTCTTGCCCTCCTCTCCTCTTTTTTTTCAGGAAGCCATAAATATGAAAAAAATGAAACTTAACGACCGACATAAGTCGGTAGTCGGTCGGGAGCGGCGGGAACCAGCTGATTGCAATCAATTTCATTAAAACACTCACCCTCCACAAAGTCTGATTCCATCTTTCGAATGGCCGCGCTGTAACGAATTCAATTTGTAAAATGCGCTTTAATCGATAAAAACTCTCGAAATTCAAAAAAAAGAGGATTTTTTACAAATTACAAAACTCGTTTAAGTAGTTAAGGCCGTAAAAAAGTAGTTAATGAGTATTCATGATAGCCGTAATTAAATGGAGAAGGTAAACACATAAATTTGAAACGATTTTCATTGTTTTTGGAAAGCGAAGAGAGCAAAAGTAACGAGTAATTTGAATGATTTCTCTTGTTTTCCGAGCTAAAGCTATAATTTGATTAAACGCGTCATGGAGAGGGTGTTCATGACAGATGGGATGGGTAATGGATCCAGTTGGGAATCAAGGAATAATGAGGTAAATGTTAGTAATATTTTTTTGGTCATCCGAGTGTTTGGCGATCAAATTATAAAACTTTAAAAAATAACGATTTTTTTAGCCTATTGTTAGGATTTTGCTCAAATTTTGTCTGCTTATTCTGTCTTGGCAACCTGCTGTCCCCTGAAAATTTTGCCAAGCGCTTTGCAGTTGGACCTGATTTACACAGCAATCTTTGCCGACTAGAGACCATAGAAGATGAGGAGAAACGGTCAGAGCAAAAAAAATATTACATGTCTTGAAAAACTTGGCTATAATCCGGGTTGATGAACCTTGAATATCCATGTAAAAAAATAAAACAGAACCGGCAATTCAAGGCCATCAAAACCTTGAAAAGTTGACAATATTTTAGATCGCAAATCCCCTAAATTTCTTGTTTAAAACTCCCATTATTTGAGGAATGTGTCAGCAATTGCACTGTAAACCAGCCCCATAAGGTCAAATAAGGTAAACAAATCGAGTAATTGGGATTTTATGGGACGTTTCACGTTCAGATTTATGGAGTAATCACGATTTCGAACTTTTCTGGATCGAATATCAAACTTGCAAAATTTTAAAAATTTGCTTTTTTTCGAATCCTGTATACCGAAAAATTTTTTTGAAAGTAAAGACAGCAAGAATAATGATTTCCCAGTAAGAAAACAGTTTAAAAGTTTACAGGCTCCCCAGAACGCCGGTTTTTGAGAAGAACGGACCTAATTCAATAAAAGTTTATATGTTTGCGACCACACAATGACAGCAATGAACATGTACGTAATGGAGAATGAGCCGTTAATGCGCAAAATATTGTGTTCGACTGATCAAAGGGATCCATTGATTACATAAGAATCAAAAGGAAAAGAGGATGATGACATTTCAGCAATTCAATTCGAAATTTGAAAAGAAAGATATTCCTGCGAAAATCTAACACAGAATTTACCGAAAAATAAAGATCAAGACCGTAAATTGGGAATGGGGCCAAAAACATATTTTTTCTCTAACCGTTTCTGCTCATTTTGCGTGATCTCTAGTCTGCAAAGAACGCTGAAAATGTTGGCCGGGCCTTCAAAGAAAAATTTTGAAACTTTTTGGGATGGATATGTGGTCCAGTCAGAACATTCAAGCAAAACTTTGAGAAAATTTGTTAGCATAAACTCAACCTATTTTTTTCAAAAATCTTTACTAATCATAAAAATTATTATGTTTTTAGCCCTTAATACTCTGGATCTTGGGGTTACTGCCAGTTTTTATACATCCCAACCACGTGCAATCACATTGCCTCCCGAAAATCGCGAATTCCATTCCAAATTACCCATGAAAGCCCGTAAATTTGACTTTTCGACCTCCCCCTTTCCCTCGCATTCCTAGCCCTTACTATTACTACCTTTGTCCACCATTGCGCGCCAACTCGTCCGGTTCTGAATGCCCGTAAAATAAAGAGGACATCTGTTCCATGGATTTGACGAACATCTGACATCTTGATATTATACATGAGCTCGTTTTTTTCAGCGAGAACTCTTAATCTCATCATGAAAAAAGGGAAAGAAGAGAAAAGTAATGTGGTTGGCGTTGAGAAAAAAACATAAGGATACAAATGCAGAAACAAGATTGTATAGAGTCGTTCAAAATACATTTGGGATTGGAACAAAAGTCATTTGTTGGTAGAAAACAGTAACAGAAAAAGATTTTTTCAAAAAACTCCCTGAGAAGGTCCACTTTTGGCCAAGTTTCGGCCTAAAAGTCCTGGCCGTTTCTGCAAAGTGCGAGTTAAAAACCCCGAAAATTTATAAGGAAAAATTAGTCTACATTTATACCAAGCTTTATCAAAGTTTGACCATCATAGCTATTACTTCCACTGTTTGTATAATTTTGATAACACTTGGCATAAAACCAGACAAAAAACTTGTGATAAAAATTGATAAAAACTGATGTTATTAGGACATTCTCCCCGATGAAGACGCACTAAATCAAGACCACCCATACGACTTGAGGACACACGATAACCGCAAATTTTGGAAGACCTTAGGTATTACGATTTCAAGCTCAGTAATCGGCATCTTTAGAGGCTTCAATCTGAAGCCAGCGACAATTTCGTACGTATTTCACCAAACCTGAGCTGTTCCACTCTGTGACTTCATGGGATTTTTTTATCTATTATATTATATTTATTTTATAATGTTTACTGAACTGTTATAGATAATTTTTTTGTAAATAAAATACGGCCCAAATAATTGTAATCAAATTTTAAAAATATTTTTTGCACTCAAACAGAGCTCAAGTCTTGCGTTTTTGCTTCAATGAATTTCCCTTGCGCTTACCCTCATGTCTGCATCCGGTTTGCGAGTTCTGTCGAAACATTTGCTTGGTCATTCCTTGGCTTTTTCGTTTCTTTGGTCACTTTTATATTAAAAAGTTAGAGTACCTTCAGACAAGATGATCGCTTATGATGTCACTCGGCCTTGTCGTAACCCCCGATTTCGCAGCTGGTCTCCCCGATTCAAAGTCGATTGTAGTCGCGATATTGTCAAGGATAATAAAAGAAATCAGATTTTTTATAAACGACGAAATCAATCGCTGAGAAAAGTAAGTAATCGAGGCTTTTATATCATGACAATGGTGACTACTTTTTAAATTGCTACTTTAGGTCCCTGCTTTCACAATTCAAACAGAACAAAGACACACAAGGCCGTTCACTCCAGCCAATGCCAAGCCAAATAATGTGGATTTGGTAGGGATCTTTTTGTTCAAAACAAATTCAGAAGATTTCCGAATGAATGCAGCATAAAGCCTTGTATTCCAGACTCATAATGAGATCCAATTTTCCAAGTTTTACGAAGATCAACGATTTCCGGTGAGAATTGTGTCCAATGGGAAGATTGGGATCGAATGGTTGGTAGATCCCGGACTACTGGAGCCAAATGAAGCTCAACAAGCGCTGGTTCGATTTTCATACGGACTGCCGTTGGAGAAATCAGTAAGTTTTGTTTTCAGTCCTTATATAACGGACATGTGGAGGTGTGAAAAAAATCAGCGAAGCCCAAGTTTAATTTCTGAAAGTAACACAGATTTAAACTATCTGTTAATTTTTAAATTGGCTTTTAATCGACGAAGGCTTTTATGTAAAATTATTTTGGTCGGTGAGGTCCTATTTGATATAAATCTTCGACATCTTTGGCCCCTTCTTTGATGCCTGCCGGCGCAATGTAATTAAGTAATCATTGTCATCATTTTTCAGCCATTCAACAGTGTTGCTTTGAAGGGGTTCATGGACTTGTTAACGATCGAAATCGCCCCTCAACTCATCGCTGAGACTCTACCTCAAATTGTAAGTTTTCTAAAACGCTCTTTGCCATCTAGTACTACAATAATTTTTCCTTATTTTGCAGGTCCCAAACATCCGAAAAGGCTTGGAAGCGAAGAAATATGAGAAGCGTTTGGAGATGTTACGAGTGATTCGTCGTTTGGCAACGTTGACAGGAATCGGGCCGTTGCTAATCCCGTTCTACCGAATGCTCCTGCCACCACTTCGTATGTATCTCGTATCTAGAATTACACTTGCATTTGAAAATTTAGGAACTCGATTTATTTCCAAATTCGACACTGATATTGGCCCAAATCACAGGGCCAAGTACATGGAAGAAGTGACGGCCACTTTGCACTGTCTTCAGAAATTTGGCGGACGACATGCATATTTGAATATCAAGTATATTATTCCTGATTATCAAAAAATCGATTAAACAGTCTTGTAAAATACGATGTGTTTTTGGTTAAAGTTTATGCATAATGGGAGACGGTTAGGGCAAGGGAATTTTTATTATTATGCAAAATATAAAAAAGTACTACTCTCTTGCAATTTTCAATTCTCTCTTTTGGGACTGCGTTTGCATGTTTTTGGGCCGACAAAAGCCTTCGTTTGCCCCACCAAATTTTGAATTTTGAAAATCTTGCTCGTTTTTCTCGGAGCGCTGCCCCGGACAACCCGCCGACTCTGGAGAATGATCAAATAAAAACATATGTATGTACATTGCATCCCATGGAAATCCGGAAGGGCCTGTCTCGAATTAAAATTCTCTCCTGCCTCAGGCAATTGAACTGTTTGAAAATTGATTTTATCGTTTTTGACCAATTTTATTTTGCCTTTTATTGGTACTTTCAAACAATTTGCGGGAGCAATTTGAATGGGAATTTGGGCTAACTGGCTCGAATAGGGCAGGAGGATGATAAACATAGTGTATTGGGTGCTACAGAAATCTGTGAAATTTTTATTCAATGGAAAAACAAAGTGTTTTTTCCAGGCTTTTGGGGGTACCAAACTTTTTCGTTTAAATTTCGTAGGCCAACACAAAACGAATTTTAAGACTTTGAAAAACTTTTGTCCCGCGCTTTGTAAGAATAATTTTTTGTCCTTCAATTTGAAGGCCTGTTTCGGCACAAAGCGCTGGATGGTTTACTCAAAATGCAAGCTACACAACTCTCGGATATCGTGGAAAATTGTGGCCACATTTATGCCGGGTTTCATCAAAATGAAAAATTCACCTTTTGGCCAAGAACTTGTCGCTACCTTTTTCAAAATTACAAATTTTCATTATTCAAACATCTACCTCATGATCACCATAACAATCCAGGATCTAAACTCTGGAGAGTACGCCAGCTATTATGGCTACATAAATAATGTATGACCGCTCGGGTTTGTGACCCATTATTCCATTGTCAAGCGAATGTTTGGCGATTAAATTGTGACATTCTTGTTTGTGACCCTCTTCGTTATGGGTTGCGCGTGGGCATAGCTGGAGATTGTGTTCATAAAACAATTTTTTTGACTGATAATGATGTGCACTTCCTTAAAGGGACATACAAATAGGTAGTGGGAAAGATGTGAGGTTTGAAAAACTTTTATGCTTTGAGGGGGATCTCATTGGGCCCGATTTAAGTTTGCATAGGCAATCTGAAAAATTTGCAGAGACCTACAAGCTCTACGTAGATGGCTGTATCTCAAAGAGCCTGATGTTTGCCAAAAAGTTAGATCTTTTGAGAGCAAACGCATGTTAATTTTTCGCGAATTTTCGTTTGTGCTGTGAAGACACATCTTTTAATTGTAACAGTATTTGGGGCTGAAAGCCTAGCAAAAACGAGGCGAGGCGACCAGAGGGAATATGTAGTTTGACGCTTGAAAAAATAGATTTTTTATATTTAGAAACCAGTAGAAAATTGTGAATCTTTTAAATTTTGAGTTATAATATTTCCTGTTCAAGCGTGTATCTTACAAGGGAAGTACCCCAAGTGCGACGCTCAGATTTTCTTTAAATTTTGCACACACGCCGGTCATGAACTAAGTACCAATCCCTGAAAGTTTTAGCTCGCGCTTTGCAAGCGCCGCCGAGATATTGAGCGATCTTTACCGCTGAGAAAGTACGCTAAACGAGGAGGGCGGTCAGAGAAAAAGACACTTTTTGGCCGTAACTTTGCTAGTTTCGTGGGGAAAAAATTAATTTTTTGTGGAAACACTACCCTCTATGGTAGAAATAGGCATGAAACTTTTGGTGCCAAAATTCGGCAAAAAGTGTCAAATTTTCGTCAACTTTCGATCTAAAAATCTCGGTTGTTTCTGCAAAGCGCGAGCTAGGATTCTCGCATATATTTAAAAAAAATTCATTCTAAATTTGTGCCAAGTTTCACCAAAATCTGAGCGTCGCACTTGGGGTACTTCCCTTTTTAATGAAATTCTAGTCTGAATTGAATAGCATGGACACGGACTGTCTGACCTTACATAGGCTACGACCAACCCCCGCCAAAAATCAGCGTTTTGCGCCAAAAATCACTTCTCTCCCTCAACATTCGCCCCCAGGGCAGCCCCCGGAATGCATCAGATTATCCGCCGATCCCTTTTCGATTACTACATAAATATCCTTTTGTTTGTGTCGGCGGGGGTTTTGTGTCATTTGCATAATTCGACGGCCGTGATCAGAAAATGAAAATATTATTGGTTTATGTCGTCGGGTTTCCACCTATTAGCAATTTTGAATACCAAATAGTCGGGAATTTGTTGAGTTTCGATTGTTTAATGTTGTTTCAGTCTGCAGCAGCGAAATCGAGAAAGGGAGTTGTAGCGGGGAAGGGTTTGCTGGATGGAGTTTGAGAGACTTTTGTGCTAGAAATTATTTGATTTGGCAGCTCATTAGGGGTGTTGGCTAGGCATTAAATTATACGAAGAAATCTCGGAGATAGCCCTCAGGTTTCCTTTAATTTAGGAAAGAAACTTGAATAAAATTAATAGTTATAATATTTTAAGTTCTTACAGGTTACACCACAAACTTCAAAAATCGAAATTTCGAAGAGTGCGCTGGTGTAATTTTGAGATTTTTTGCCTATGTATTACCCTAAAAATTCCTGTTCTTATAAACTTTTATAATACTTTGCCCTTTCCTTTACATAGTACAAGTCAATTTTCCTTAAAGCCAATAAAAACTCACCCCAAAAAGTTCTAAAATCAGCACTTTCCAAGCCGGAGTTTCCCCGCATTTGCATAATCAAAATCCCTAACCACTAATCGGGTTCGATCCCTACGTCAACTCCCACTTTCAAACCCACCGGAAATGTTATTATCATTCAATCATAACAACTACACTTTCACTGCGTAGTTGTGGCGCTTATCACTGACGTCAGGCCGGAACTTTGCGTATTCAGCCGGACTTTTCTTTGGGCGTTTCCTTGCAACTGCCGGAGGGGGTTAGTCAGCACCCTCGCTTTTTGTTGAAGGAATCAAATCAAGACTTTGCCCTGCCTTTTTAAATGTTGAATTTTTTTAATTATGAATAATTAGAGGAAGTAATTTGCCGGGGATAAAGACAATATTTTTGTTGTATACAATATGGGTGTTGTACCTTGTTTTGGTTATCTTTTTGCGTTCGAAAAAATTTCTTGCTAATTTTTTGATTGCGATAAAATTCTTTGATTTCAAAAAGCGATGACTTTTTTATTATTTTTTTTTTGTGATCCGAGTTTTTTCGATGTCCAAAAATATTGTATTACATAAGTCATCTTTAAGGTCGTATTTTACACTCCCTAAAATTCCAAGATTCCTGCGAAACTCTAATTCCGAAACTTGCTGTACCGAGCAGAACGCCTTTGTTTCTTTTTAATCGGATTTTTATTCTTATTTTTGGAGCCATTTGCAACTCTTATCAGCCAAACTATACATAAAAGGCTCCGAGTCGTCGACGAAAGTAGGACACACCCAAAAAAACTCGAGCGACTCCCAATTAATAGATAATAATCGAAATGCATTTCGAATTATCCTCGGGATCTCTTCGATCTTGATAGCGCGCCGACTTGTACCGCGTCTTTTGTCGCGCGCCGCTAGGTTTTGACAGTAAAATGGGCTTGTAGGCATCGGTAACGAGCCCACCGAAAGTTGGAGCTGGGAGGAACGGAGAGGGCCGTGAAGGGAGGAGGGGTAGAAAGTTGAAATTTTATTGGTAACAGGGTAAGTTGAGGGGGTTTTTACTAATAAGGGGGAGATAGTCATCAATCTGAAGGAATGCGCGAAATTGGTGATTAATCCTGAATCTTGGTTAAAATACCCATAGTATTTAGTAAAAAAAGAAACTTAAGGCTGACGTAAAGGTTTTGTCAACAAGAAAGAGCTGTTTTATTAGCTGTGTTTTACATCAGAAACAAAATTTAGGTAGATTTCTTCAATAAACCACATTAATCATCATTTTGCAGGTTCTGGATTGAAATCTTGTCTAATTATTTTGCATCTTGTACCAAAAACTCCTCAACTTTCTCCGAAACACCTCCTTCCCACCGCACCTTACAGCGAGCCCTTGGAGTCCACAAAATCCCGCTTATGATGTGTTTCATTAACCATTTCCAGTCGCTTTTTCCCATCTCCCCTCCCGAAATGATTTGAATTTCGCATAGGGCCTCTCCCTCACCTTCTCCAATCCCCCCTTTCCATAACAGGGCCCATTTGCGTGTTTTTGTGTGTAAATGATCGGTCCAAAACCAAAACTCTTTTTTTTCTTTCTGTGGCCGCGAATCTCGCCCCTTTTTTCCCGCCCGCACCTTTATTTCCCGAAGTGCATGGATATGATCGAGCCGGCGGCGGCTTTTGTAGGATGTTTTTTTGAAGGATCGCGATATTTTTTCCTTGAACGGTCAGCCAGCCCTTTCCTTTTTTTGTGAGCTGTTAGGTAGAGCCAGAGAATATTTGAGGTCAGAAAAAGCCTGGTTACCTTTGGTAACCCTTATTGATTCGTATTGTCTCCAACAATCTGTATCCCCATCGGATTTACCGGAATTTCTGCTGATTTTACGATATTCCAGAAAATCCGTCATCATGACAGATTTTTATCGACCAGCTATGTAAAAATTATGGAGCTCCATGCATATGATACGTCATTTGATCGCTGCTAAGAAAATCTCAGCCTATTTGCAAAAAGCAAACAGTTGTTTGTCCTCGAATCAACCGATTTCCCAATCAGCGATGACGGATTTCCTGGAAATTCTCAAAAATCGCCAAATTTTTTCCGAATTTGCATAACTCGGATCGATAAAAGGACAAACATACTGTTTTCCATGCAGTGTTGGCAAGAAAATTACCGATGTTCGCACGTGGAAAGTGAGCTCTGAAGCTCCCATGAATTTCGAGCGGATTTCCTCGATTTTTAGCCAAAAACCATCAGTTTTTTGCACTTTCCCCAATCGAATTGCGGCGGATTAGCATGGCGAACATGGTGAAAGTGATTTCCTTTGTTTTGCGATACTTTTCGAGGGCGTTTTTACTGTTTTTGATTTGATTTAGAGGGACTTTGTAAGGTAATCCGGCTGATACGGACGTTCTTGTGGGGAATTGATCTTTTCGACCGGTTGAACTGCATTGACTACCTTTGTGCTGTTTTAAACTGTTAGTCGTGCTACCAGTTCGACTTGTTTATGCTATACTTTAACTCATTTGTCTTATTTTAGGCCATGGAAGAGTCGTGGACTCCCATTGTTAAAGATGACGTCTTTTTTAATGACACGACCTCTGGAGAACTCACTTATGTCTTCGATAACCATGCTCACAACGCTTCAGTTCCAGGTATGCAGAGATATTTCCGTTTCCGGGAAAACTTTAAAAAATTTTGACGTTAGCTGCCATGGATAATGTAATGGGTCTGGCGTTTGTCGTGAGATAGCATGAACGTTGAAACTTTTCTTATCGCTTAGTGAAATGCCTTATTTATTTTTGGGAAGGATTTCGAACTGTTAGCGTTTCTATTTTTAGAGAATTAAGCAGTTTTTTCGCACCTTCCAATGCGTTTAAAACTGGCGAAATAGAGTGGGATTTTATCTGTTTTTTCGCGATTGCTTTTGCCTTTGGAGCCCGATTGTCCTTTGTAGAGTCAATCAACTCTATTCTGGTCATCAGTTTCGTATCTTACGCCAAACTTTACTGTTTGGACAGCCGGTTTAATTCGGTCATAAAGACGACTATAGGACTTTATGGGATGAAATATTTGCTCAGCCCAAAATCGGGCAATCGTTTTGATGTTGCTCTCTATGTTATGTAGATTATGGAGCTTGAGCAAGAGAAAATTGGCGGTTTGAGCAGCTCAGACTTTATTTTAGGTAATAAACGACCTTATTTTAGGTATCAACTTTAGAATTTTGAAAGAAATTAGAAAATTCAAAGAGTTTTTCCCATTTTATGTTGTGTGCTGACAAAAAATTAATTTCAGAGTCTTTCTACACGTATGTCGACTACGGATCCGATGGAATCTCTCCTTGTTCGTCCACTTCTTACCTCCCAAGTCCCGAAGCTCCCGAATTGAGTCCCACACAGTTGAATCAAGCTTTGGTTAATGGATTTATCGATCTGGACACACAAATTCCTCGTGGCTACGTCCATAATAACAATGATCAAGAGACGGCGAACCTGGTTTTTGTAAAAGAGGAAAAAGAAGACGAACCTTGTCCTGTCAGTCCGATGTCCAGCATGTCCGATTCGAAGTCATTGAGCTTTGTGCAGTCTCCCGAATCTGGGGGTAAGTTTCGGAGCTGATTATAGAATGTTTTGATTTTATTTTGGAAGATTTTTGATATTATCCATGCTCTTTAGGTTATGCGGATTACAAACAGTACCCAGCACCTCGAGCAATGCGTCAGTTTGATTCGGATTTTGAGACGGACTTGATGCCACCAATACCACCGTCTCGAACTCGGTCCAAGATGCACGATCTGGCGGTTAAACATCGACTTATTACGGATCAGGTGAGCTCAAGGACAATGTCAAGGCGGAATTTATATTTTGAGGGGTTAGGATTGATGTTTTAGAGATTCTTTTTTAATAGATTTGAAATAGAATCTCTGGTGATTACAACGGATAACAGTCCTGCTTATTTTGGCGAGCTGCGCCATCTTTTTTCTAACCCTTGAGTAATTTTGCACGAATTAGCCTTCAAATTGCGAAACAAGAGGCGACAAGTCGCCGGCGACAATAAATTAGGTTAACTGGAATGGAAGTACATGATACGGGGCCGACTTTGATGTTATCTTGGTCTTCAAACTGCTTCAAAAGATATTGAGGTCATTCAAATCTCGTCGAGAATTTACGACAGCGAATGCAGGAAACAAATTGGTAATGAAGTAGGAGTAGAAAAAATAAAGAGGATAAATTTACAATAGAAAATTGTCTTATGACAGCAAGACATTATACATGTTGGTTTAGTCAAATAAAATGCTTGATAAAGTTGGAAATGCACGAACCAAAATCTTTGACATTCTAGTTTCAGAACGCTCGGAGCAATGGGATGATTCAACTTTCGTCTGAGGAGAAACGGACTCTGATCCAAGAGGGCTACGAACTCCCGACCACCTTACCCTTGACCAAAGAACAGGAAGAAGCACTGAAAATTGTTCGAAGGAAGATCAAAAATAAGGTGAGAATGGGAGAATTGGACGGATTATGTTGAGGTTTAAGAGATTTGAGACGATCTGGTCCATTTTATATTGTTTTAAGCACTTTTGGATATTAAGATCGTCTGATTTTTGAACAAAAATTTTATTCATTTTGCCTTTTTTAGTTGAGCGCTCAGGAAAGTCGTCGCAAGCGCAAGGAATACATTGATAGCCTGGAAAGGAAGTGCCAATCATATTATAATGACAACGTGGCCCTCAGAAACAAGCTGAAACAAATGGAAGCCCAGAACCGTGACCTCATCAACAAACTCAAACGTCTGGACCCACTCACTGTTGGTTAAAATAGCTCGTAACTAGCCCGGCTAGTCTTGTCTTAACTCGTTTTTAATTATTTTTTTATCGATTTGTTGTTTTTTCCATGGTGGTTTGGACTGGATTTGAAGGGATTTTTTGAATTTTTGTTTTGGCTGAAATTTTGATAGTTCATCCCGAAATCACATGCAGTCCAACTCATACATAGCCAGCAGAATTTATTTTTTTACCAAGTCTAATACCTACTTCCAAGGGCTTTCACCTCTGGCCTATATTTTTTGTAACTGTTTTTTAACGCAAATTGCCCCTAATCAGCCTCAGGCTAGAATTTTATTTTGTCATACATATCAATTGTTGTAGTTCCAAGTGTAATAGTAATTTATTGACCCTTTTAACTCCAATTTTGTGATTTACTTTTGTGTTTCGCCGGTGTTTTGAACATGATATTATTATTGTCTCGTATTTGAAATTGTTTTTTTTGGATATTATTAGATAAATTATCAGGCAAGGTTGGATTGATTTGTGTTTTTTGGGTTATGGGACAAAATATCTCGAACGTCTTCCACTGCATGTACTTTGAGGTGTACAGAGCAGACGATGGAATTCGTGTGAGAGTCAAAAACTATATCAGGAGTGCAACCCCGATGTCGATGGAAAAAGTAACATCTTTATACCCGAGATTTGATGAATCCATCGAGAGTCGTCTAATAGCGCCCGTAAGATTGGTTTGGGTAAATACTATGGAAAATTTAGACTGGTCTTGCCCTCCCTGCGCCGCTTCAGACCGTTTTCGACGTGACAAGGTCTGAAAATCGCCTTCGGGAATACGGAGCTGCTATTATCCAAGTGTTGGGAACAGATGTGTTTTCTTCATTGTCGACCTATCTGCAGCAAGCAAAGACCTTGATTCCGGTGGATTTTGATCAACTATGCGTCCAAATACATGAAAGATGTCGCCCTCTTGCTCTTCCTGGACCTACTTTGCAAGATCCAAACAATATTGTTCTGAACGAGTTCACAAATCGGATCACCCTAGAAGCGCAAGCACTTCAAGTGAGTCATAAACAGTGATTTGACAGTATCTTTTAGTTTTTCCTTAACGGCGAGTTCCCTACAGATGAATTTGCGCTCGAACAGGCGGTGGTCGACCATGAAGGCGACGAGGAAGTTCAACTTGAGCAAGAAGGACAAAACAATACTTTTGTCGATTCAACCACCGCACAAGAGGAGTTCCGTCCGCCCACAACAGAGGCTCGTGAAGTCAGATTGGAGGATCTTCCGTCGACCAGCAGAAGCCGCGCCGCGTCTTCAGTTGGTACCCAATCGAGTTATGGTCGTTCCTATCGCCCCCGTCGTATTTTTGATCCATCTGATACTCAATGAAAGCGGTTATAATAAATGTTGTTGTTTTTCAATGTTTCATATTCGAAATCGGTTTTAATACCACTAATAACTGATAGTTCGGCTTGGCCGATCACACAATGTTGTATGGAGAAATTTCGTTTTTCGTTTATACGATAGTTATTGATTACAATATAAATCCCTAAAAACTAAAAAAAATAAAATTAAAATAACATCTGGGCACGTTTGGACTGAAATTCCAAAATTTAATCCATGCTTTGGACAAAATTTGTCGAATTCAGTCCACAGAGTCACTTTGGACTAAATTCTCCGACTTTAGTCCACTTCGACATTTTTGGAATTTTCCGAACCGTGGACAACTCCAAAAAATCCGAGCAAACAAATCAAAAAGTCCATGGATCGAAAATCAGTGGACTAGATTTCCAGAAACCTGTCCACACGACGGCCTCATCTGGAGGTTGTGCTGAAGTTCTTGACTTTCAAGACACAGCCTGATATTGTTAACGAACCCCAATGATCATTCATTAGACATTCAAGGCATCGGTGCGATCGCCCTTATCAGATACATACCTGTTGATCTTTTCTCCTGCCAATAAAAAATGTGCGTATTCAGCCGGTATCGCCGCCAAAAAGCCCATTTGTATACTATCAAAGTCTTATCACATGTGACAGTTTGCTATAATACAAGCTGAGTGGTCGGCTTATCATGGTACTGCTTTTTTGCGCTGTGTAGTGTGTGAGTGTCTTGATGGCGGTGAATTTATAATATCAGAGCCATTGAAGCATGACAAGCTAAGCACATTTTTTTTCTTGTGCATTTCTTTATTTTTTTAGCCTTTCGTGGATCATGATCATTGAGAGCCAACAAGTTTATATCTATCTTTTAGCTATGGCCGAGCATATTCCGACAACCCAAAAAGCCGCCGTCTTCAGTAACTATGGAGGCAAAATCGAAATCAAAGAAGTTCCCGTCCCAGAGATCGAACCCGACGATATGTTAGTTAAAATACTGTACACTGGAGTATGCCATAGCGACCTTCACATCTGGCTGGGCGATTTTCCATTCCCGACCAAGCCCTTACCATTGATTGGCGGTCATGAAGGGGCTGGAATTGTAGTTAAAACTGGTGCTAATGTCAAGAACTTCAAGGTCGGAGATCGCGCCGGGGTCAAGGTAAGATTACCTCGAAATGAGTGCAGTTATGATTGCAGTGGATTAACGCGACTTGTCTTTGTTGTGAGTACTGTAAACGAGGCTATGAAACAAACTGTGAGAATATGATTAACAGTGGATTCACTCGGGACGGAACTTTCCAACAATATGCTGTGGTGAGAGGAACTGAAGCCGCACCAATCCCAGAGGGCTTGGACATGGCAAAGGTGGCGCCGATTTTATGTGCAGTAAGTTGTTGATAATCCCCAAAAAAATTGAGGCCGCAAATCATTTTTTCGGCTCTCTGCCGCAATTTTAGTAGATCTATCTCACATAACGCGTCATTCCAGGGAGTCACAGTCTACAAAGCTCTGAAGACTTCGAAAGTGAAAGCCGGACAAATTGTGGCCATTACCGGTGCCGGCGGGGGCCTTGGCTCCTGCGCCATCCAGTATGCGAAGGCTATGGGAATGCGGGTTCTGGCCTTGGACACTTCCGCTAAGGAAGAGCACTGCCGCTCTCTTGGTGCTGATCTCTTTTTGGACCCATTCAAGTGCCCTGATATTGTGTCAGCGGTTCAATTGCTCACTTCCGGAGGACCCCACGGAGTTATTAATCTGGCTGCTTCTGTTCGCGCCATGGATGACGCCGCAAAATACGTGAGAACTCGTGGAGTTGTGGTGCTGATTGCTTTGCCACCAGACGCCAAAATGAGCATTGAAGTGATCCCTAGCATTGTGAGGACGATTACTGTAACCACATCTGCTGTTGGAAGTCGTCAAGACGTTGATGAAGCGTTGGAATTCTTCGCCAGGGGACAAATCAAAATCCCGGTGGAAATTGCAACTCTTGAAGACTTGCCAAAGACATTTGAAAGAATGCAAAAATGCGAAATCTCGGGAAGAGTGGTGTTGGATATGTGGAAGTAACAAGGCCTTCTATATCTTAACGTCATATACTAAAACGTCTTTGTAAATAAACACAACCAATAGAGCAATAAAGTCTGTGCTATACTAGTGTCTTCGGCATTTTGCAACAACTTTTTGGCCCCTTCCCATTTCTGTTACGCACTGTCGCGTTCCTTTTTTCCTTTTGCTCTCTCACCCTTGGCTATCGGATTTCCAACGAAATCCTTGCATAGTTTTGAACAGCAAACTTTGATCCGTCAATTCACAGCTGCAAAAATATTGGCCTAACTATTTCCTTTATCAAATTTAAAGCAAGGCTTCATAGATTTAGATATAATATTTTATAAATCTTTGAGATCTTACCGTGTTTTGATTACATAAGATTTGCAGGCGGAAGAGCAAACAAACAAAGGGAGCCTTGAAGAAGTGGGAGGAGGTGAGCGATCGAGAAAAGGTCGTGGGATATTTCGGGGCAATTTTTTGTGCCCTAAGGCAATTTTGGCATTTATAGAAAGAGTAGATATGATTTTGGTCTTGTTGCCTTTGAATTCGTTAAAATATTTTTTTAATCATTTTTAAAACTTCAAGTAAAAAAATTTGAAAATTTAAACTTTCCTTACAATTCGATCTTTGACAAACTATCTGCTTTGCCTTGAGTATAACATTTAAAAATATTTTTCTCCCTTGAAAGTTTTGAATTTTGAACCAATGCTGTTCTATTGAATTCAAGACAATGGCAACACCTCTCCCACTTTACATGAGAATACGTCAAGCTGGACTGTCGAAAACTTCTGTCAGCCCCCAGAACGAGTCATCAGTGTGATTGTTCAAAAAATAAAAAGTTCCAATGTCAGAGCAGCGGCCGTTCACATGCTGAGGCCAACCAAGTCAAAAAAAAGAAGAGAAAAACAAAAAAGCGGATACGGAAAGGGCCGGAGGGGTTTCTTGATCAAGACACCTGTTCCTTCACCCCTCTCGTCTAGGCTAATATCCCTCCAAAATAATTCCAACTCTTGATCCTGAGGCAGGGAAGAAAGGGGGGATTAGATGGGTGTGTGATCCAATTTTCGAATGGACTGCGGATTTTGAGAGTTTTCCCACTTAAATTATGTTTTTCCTCCGGGCTTTTCAAGCGCTTTGGGGTGGGATCTGATGAGCGGAGTTTGAATTGGAAGAAGTTTGATGTTCGCACAATAAAATTGAGCATTAATTGGATTGTGCTTGAATCCGCTACTCCAAAGTTTACCTCGTAAAACTCCAACTATTTACTGAGATTTGTCCAAGATGATTTTTCTTCTATAAATAGGCATATGCCGTTTACTGCCTCTCTGTTTTGCCAGGTTGACAAACATTGTAATTTTTACAAATTTAGTCTCTAAAATGACATTGATGACACTTTTTCACAACCTTTTCCTATCACCAAGACCTTGTGCTTCCAGCTCCATCTCAATAATAACCTTCTCATCCATTGTCATTTCGGATATTTCAAGTTTTTTGCCTCCTCGAAATCCTGTCCATCCCCGAAATTTGACGTTTTATTTTAGGGATTTTGTCAAGCCATATGGCCCTTGAACTTTTATTGGACCCGTTTCCGGATCCGTGTGGTTTCGATTGTTCGGATCTTTGTTTACCGAAAGCTTTGTTTTACCTGGATCGAGTTGTTTTTATTGATTCTTAATCAAACCATTTGATAGGTTAAATATGCCCCTATAACGAGCAATGGCATTCGATCCGGAACTGGGGTACGACCCCGAGGAATGGGAGCTCTGTCCCCCGCCTGACCATTTCTTGGCCTTCGGTTGGTTCAGTCGGCTTTGCTTGGCCGTAGGAGCAATAACTTTTGCATTTTTGTTCTTTTACTGTATTGGACAAAAGAAGCGATGGAGCGCCGATGAAAGAAGGGCGAGCTTGACGAGTGTTAAGGTAATGGTTGAGCTTGAAATTTTGTTGGAATATGTGCATTTTCAAACTTAAAAGTTTTGCTTTTTTAGCCGGATCCCGAAGCTCTTGAACATCTCCAAAAGATTGCCTCTAGCGAGCAACAAATCCGTCAAAATGGCCACGAAACCTCTCCATCCAGCGGTCTCCGTCGCCGCCAGAAACGTCTCTCCGAACAAGATCTTCAAGCTCTTGACGAATGGGAGCTAGAGCGTCAACGGCTCGAACAAACGAAGCTCGAGGAACTTCGAAACGACACAACAACCGATCGTGATGGAGCCCCTAAAACACCACCATCATCTCCGCCAGAGATTCAGCCGGTCGATTATCAACGGCTGGCCGCCGATCTAGAGAGGAGGTTGTTGGATGAGATCAGGCATATTGAGGAGCCCACAAACTCGGTGGAACTTCACCAACGATTGCTGGAGAAGCACGAGCCTGAAGTTAGAAGAGCGGAAAGAAGTCTGGCCAATGCCGAGGCCGAGGAGTTGAGGAAGAGCTTCACAAAAACGTTGGATAATGCTATCGAACAATACAATAGGTAAAACATAATTCATTTTTTCGAAATTTAGGCTGAATTCAAAATTGTCATTGTAAAATACAAACTTTCTTTGAAACCGTTTTTTACGCCGCCATGATTTCAGAAATCTCAACGAACAAGTGTTTGGAAATGATAGCGACTTTGAACAACCCTACAAGGATTCTCCCTACTTTTATCCGAGCGACGCAGATGATGCTGAGCACGCTCATTCTTTTGTTTTCGAATCTCCGAATGCCGCATTAAACCAGCTTGGAATGAATGTTCCTCAGGAACCAGGCCAAGTCCAACAAAAACTTCCCAGTTTCCAACAAGTTCAAGATCAAGACCATAAACAGACTCGTGATCTCCCTGGCCAACAAACCACACCCGTTCCACAGCAAGAGCCTCAATTTGCCAAGAAAAGTTCATCAAGTTCTGACGAAGGCTTTGTCAAGATCTATCATGATCAGACACAGCCGGTCGATTTGCTGAAGAACATTGAAGCTCATCGAGAGCAAATTTTAGAGACGAACACTGCCGTTGAAAAAGCTCGAATTCAGGCGGAAATGCCGGATTTCCGATTCCCAGAAGATCGTCAACAAGTTGACCAAGACAACCGTCAACGACCAGACAGCTTTTATGAACATGCAGACCAACAAGCTGCCAATGAAAAATATTATCAAGTGGCCCCGGCACAACAAGACGCCAGAGGAAGAAGCCAAGAGCAGAACAAGTTGCAGCGCCCTCCACCGGCTCAAACCCAAGGACAGGGCCCTCAGTTTGGTCATCAACAATCTCCTGGAATCCAGAATGCCAAGAAGAAATCTCGAGACCAATCGCCTCTAGAGTATCTGGAAGAACTTCATGATCATCTTCTTGGTGAAGCACCTTTGAATTATCCCGGTCCTCAAGGCCAAACTTTCCAACGCCCTTCCGTTGAGAGACAACCAGCTCCACGAGATGAGATTCTGAGCCCTCAAGAGATTGAATATCTGGCAACACATCCTCAAGTTCAATCACCACAAGTCCAGAAGGCACTAGAAAGAGCTAATCAAGAGAACTCTCCATATGTGGTTGTTGAACATGACGGCGAAGTTGACCTGTACCCTCAGGATGAGCATCGAGTTGTGAAGAGAGCTGGAGCCATTCCGGATGATCAGGATTTACGTCAAGGCCAAGAATTTCCCCAAGAAGGTAGACAGCCTCAAGAACAACGAGGTCAACGAGTAGAACAAGGGCAGCTCCAAAGAAGGCGGACAAGTCAACAAGATTTGCAAGGGTACGATGATAATTACGACAATCTGCAAGGAGCTGGGCCAACGATTCAACAGCAGGGCCAAGCTCCTGGCTACACTCAAGCCTTTGTTCAGCCCGGTCGCCAACAACAAGGCCATGTCGAAGTTCACATTCAAGGCCAACAGCAAAAATCTCCTCAACAACAATTGCTAGCACAACCAGCCAACACTCAAAAGGTGATCTTCCCCGGCTCCCATTCCGTTCCATATGAGCTCGATCATGAACGTGAGCAACAAGGCCGAGAGACCGTTCCCCCTTACGCCATTGACGATGCCGCCAAAGATCTGGACTCCCAAGCGGAGGCCCAGATGGCCGAACTTCTTCAGGAATACGATGTCCCCGTAGAACAGCTGAAACGAAGAGAACAAAGAGAGCATGTTCCTTCACCCGAAGCAAATATAATGAGAATGAAGTTGAAGGAACAAGGTATATTACAATATGAATTAATGCAGTTTTTGGTTTTTAGGAGTTACTCCAGGACAGGGCACCCCCGTGGCAGAACGAAGGCCTTCCAAACAAGGCGCGTTTGACCATCGATCTGCAACACAGCCTCCAAACGAACTTCAGCAGGGTATGAAATAAAAAACACAATGTGGTTTACAATCAAGGTTTTTCAGACATCAAGAAGCGCGAACGTTCAGAGCAACCATCACGAACCGAGCCTGGTCAACCCAAACGATCAAAAACCATTGATGGACATGAAGATGATCCCCGTCGTCAAGTTGAAGCCGATATCTATCTTCAAGATGCCATGGAGTACGTGGATACCCACAAGAACTATCTTCCATCAACCAGTGGTTTTGTGATTGAAGAGGACATGTTGGAGAGCGATAAACAACCAATCCGGACACGAAATGCGAGTGCTGACCCGACTAGTCGACAGGTATGGGATTTGTTCAATATGCAAGAGTTTTAGGTCCCAACCAACGAAGCATTTGATAAACATGAAATGGTATTTGATGATGCGGATGACGCAGTAACTTATGCTCCGGAAATTCAGTCAGTTGAGATTCCTCCAGATCAGATTAGCCAAGCATCTTCACAATTTGCTGAGCTTCCCGATGACAGAGAGATTGCTCAACATTTGAAGCAGAAAGAAGCAGCTCCTCCTCACTTTGTCAACGAACAGGACAATCTTATTCATCGGTAAGGAAAAATCCATTACATATATTTCTACACAATAATTTGTCAATGAAAACAAAAACCTTCAATTTTTCAGCAATTCCCCCAAAAACTTCTCCGGCCCAGCTCCAGTTGGAATGCCGCCAGCTTTCAGTGTCAAGGTCGAAACGGACAACGTTTCAATTTCCTCAAGATCATCACGGTCTTTATACAAGCAGAGTTCATTGCTCAGTGCACTGGGAGTAACATCGATGCAAGAGATGTTACTAGAGCTGACTTCCTTCGACCAGTTAGCAGAGGCGATGAGAAAAGCAGGATTGGAGCGGGTAAACCTTATCTTTGGTAAGGAAAAGTCATCATTTTTTTGTTGCAACATCATCTTAACTTCATCTCAATTTATATGTTCTTAGGCGTTGACTACACGGCCTCCAACAAGTACCAAGGAGAGAACTCCTTCGACGGCCGCTCTCTCCATTACCTTGGAGAGTCTTATGTTGTGAACCCATATCAAAAAGTCATCACGACATTGGGAAGAGCTCTGGCTCCATTTGCGACGCTGAATGGAATTCCAGTCTATGGATTTGGCGATAATACCTGCGGGGATTGGGGAGTGTTTCCACTCAATGGCACGAATGGATATTGCAAAGATCTGGATGATGTTCTGAAGTAAGCGAGTAAAATTTTACAGTACCTTTTGTCTTTTAGGACGTATAATGAGGTAACGCCGACAATTGGATTGAGTGGTCCAACAAACTTTGCTCCGTTAATCTACCAAGCCATTCAGATCTGTCAACGGGTACAGGATGTAGGTTAAATCAATTTTCGGACTGTTTAGGTCATTTTACATGTATACTTATATTACGGGTGAACTGTATTTTTCAGTACCACGTCTTGGTAATCATTGCGGATGGGCAGGTGACCAACGAGAGAGCAACTCGAAAAGCCATCGTCCAAGCTTGCCAATGGCCCTTGTCCATCATTGTGGTTGGGGTTGGCGACGGACCGTGGGAAATGATGAGGGTCTTTGACGAATCCCTTCCCAAACGCCCTTGGGACAACTTCCATTTCGTCGAATTCCATGATCTGGTCAAACCGCAGTACGGCGAGCAGGGAGAACTCGCTTTCGCTATTCATTCACTTTTGGAGGTACGTATAATACGTTGCAATAGACTTTCATATTATTTCAGGTACCCGACCAATACCACCACATCACGAAACTGGGCATGCTGCCAGCTCGGACCGCCACCGGCTCGAGACGTAGTTCGGTCAATCGATAGTCAAGTTAATCTCGATATAACGGTATTATTCCCAGTCTCCGCCCTTTAGAGACAATTGCCAACGAATTTGAATATTTTCTTGAAGAAAGAAGCTTTACTTTTTACTACGGTATATTTTTTGTTGTAGATGTTGTTACTATATACTTTTATACTTACCTTTCAAATAAATATGGTCAAAAAATTAGAAATGACTTTCAAATTTTGAATTTTATTTTCAATGATTTTGTTTACAATCTTATTGTTAATATAATAGTAATTGCTCAATTACAATATGCACCCGTAACTATTTTAAAAAGCAGTCGTATTTTACATTTCCATGGCATTTTCGTTGCAAGGCACACATTTCGGGTTAATTTGCTTCGGCCTTCTCCTTTTCGAGTTTTTCGTTGGCTGAAACCGCGGCTTCATACACTTTCTTGGCTTCTGGAGCGACTTCTTCGTTGACAAAAGTCTTAACTTGCTCCCATTTCTCTTGAATCACAGGAACAGCCTTCTGAAAATATCCGAATTATAGAATATTACGAAGTAGAATATAATACATAATTCACAAGATTTAAACTCACTTCTCTGACCCACAATTGCACTTGTTCATGAGTTTCGGGGTCCTGAAGTTTGGCTTTAACCGTATCGAACTTCTCTCGAATGTAGGGCCCTGCCTTCTCCTTGATGTAATCAGCTCCATCGTGAACACTTGAACTGACTGTGTCCACAAATCGATCCCACCAATCTCCTCCATTACCTTCGGAATCTTCGGCATGAATAAGTTGAATGGAAAGGAGGGCGAGAAGGAAGATGGCAAACAGCTTCATTTTGGACTAAAACTTTAAAAAATATTTTATCAGAAAAAGTGACAAAAAGAACCGGAAAAATAAAAATTCAAAAAATTCAAAAAAAATCCAAAAATCGCAAAAAAACTACTGCTCCATTCCTCCGTTCCCATGATTAAAATTTTCATCAAATTTAAATCAAAAATCAATGACTCAAACCCAATGAATCTACTACCAACTCTTAATGCTCCAAGAAAAACCCGCAGAATAGTCAATCAGTAATGGAAAAATGTTTGCGCAGCGGCGAGAACATTGTTTTAGGCCTAAATAAGGAACTAAAAAAGAAGACAACAATGGTTGTTTAGATAATAAATAAATAGAATGAGAATATACACAATAGATGGACAATGGATGTGATATTAGAATTTAAATATGCAAAAAGACAACCCATGAAAAAAAGAGCTCAAAATTTTAGTTTGAATGAAAATACGAACTACAGGTTTGAGAGAAAGATACAAAAGCCATTACCAGTTTTAACTCAAATTTTCAAAAACCTGCCCAAACCATTCCAAATCCTCGAATTCCCTCGGAATTCTCGAAAAAAACGAGATTCCCACTGGATAAATCGCCAGCGTCCTCAATGATTCAGAGGCATAAAAAATAGGAAAAAAAAGAAGGGGGAGCATTAAACCGCCCGAGCGACAGGTTTAAACCGCGTTTGCAGCGACGCCGTGTTTGTAAAATCACGCGAGATAAGATGGATAGGCTGGAAGATACGAAAAGAGCTTTGATACGAAAGATTACAGAGAGCTATGAAGCTATTGGGTCAGACATACGGAGATCTCCCTTTGCAAAAAATGACTAATCTTTGTGATGGCGTTGGGTTTATATACGAGGAGATCGATGAGTCAGTGTGTCCTCAAATGTCTGATAATGAGGTAACGGGAGTCGATTACTCATCAGACAGTTGACATCTGACCTTCGAGATGTTTTTAGCGTCTCAAAGCTCGGATCGGTTTGCAGGAAAAAGTAAAAAGTGACCTTATTCTTACTCTGGGAAAGGAACAAATAAACAGAAATCAAAAAGGAGGAAAACGATGACTTAAAAAAATGGGAAGATTTTTGCGCAACTTTTGACATGATAAAGTAAAAAACGATGACTTAAAAATGCCAAATTAAAAATAAACCGCAAAATTTAAATTTTATAAGGCTTTCTTAGGCCCTAGTTCTAATCATTTCCCGATTTTAAATATCTAGAATGCCTAAAGTTCTAAAATCCAATCTGATTTAATACTATGTATTTTTATCCGCTTATAATTCTCACTAACTCTGACTCATTGTCCAAAAGCCCAATCATTCAAACGCCCAGCAAAAAAACATTGTCTGTAATAAAACCGGGCCAGGATTTGTTATTTCCACAGATTCTCCCTTTGTCCATCGAACAGCGTTCCGCTTTTTGGACAGCTGCCTTCGAACCATAAAAAATCAAAAGGAACAGCGGAGATTTGCCGATTCCGACATAAAGATTTGAGGACTTTGGCAGGTCACAATGCTACATATGACACTTTTGAATTGTAAAAAGACAAAAATTTAAAAAGTATTCTCGTTTAAATATGAATATACACATTTTATTTTCAGTTCCAGGCATTTTTGTAATTCTCAAAGTAAATGTTTGTGATTTGATCCGGATTTGAATTGGAAATTGTGGGTCGATCCGACTCTACATGTGCATTTCGACGGGACATTTTACAGAATTGTATCTTTTGAATATACGGTATTCGCAGAAGCACGATCGTCATGACAACAACGTTCTGAAAGGTAATCATTACATCTTTGGAGAGACTAAGCAAAAAAGTTTATAACCCTATTCATAATGGACGTAGACAGATCGCACGTTTTACATTTGAATGGCCGTTGAATTAACGACCGGCAAGGAACTGACGCCATTTTTTGACTCACAAGTGAAAGACCCAATCCTGAGAACTTCTAAGGTTTTTTCGACTAAATTGGGTCGCCATGCCTACAACCCGAAATATCAAAAGTATTGAGCAATTTGGTATGGGAAATTAAAAGTTTTCAAAGGTTTTCGTGTGGATTTAGACAGAACATGGCAAGCTGGAGGGAAGAACTTTGCAAGGCTTTAGCGACGATCCTTTTAGTCGCGATTTTTACAAATTATTGGCACATTAAAGCCAGAAGAAATAAGTTAAAAAAGTATTTGGAATTTTTTGAGAGGGCACTCTTCAGACCGACTTTACAGCCAGCGTTGTTCTTACCGAGGTCGTAATCAAAAAGTAGAAGCACTGGTTCACCAACGACCTCGCCAACGACGGATTCTCCAAGTACAATCCAACCACATAAAACACGCAAGCGAATGCAAGCAGCGCCACCATCACCGGGATGATGCTATTCAATAATCTGGCCGATTTCATGTTCTCGGCTGCTTGATATCTCTCAGTCAGCGTTGCATTCTTGCCGTGAATTGTGAGGGCGGCGATCTTGGGTGGGAGTTTTTTCAACTCCTGAAGCCGTTCCTTCGCCGTGAGAAGATACTGACGGTTCATGTGTCGGGTTATGCGGGGGAGAAATAGGAACAACTGTAAAAAATGAGTTTAGGAAGAAAGTTTACTTTTTGATGTGAGTAGAAAGTACGGGGAGATTGGGAATGCGGCGTGGAGAAGAAATAAAATAAAGGTGTTTTCTGGTGTATTTTAAGATAAAAAATGGGTTTTTTCATATTCAAAAAATGGGAAAATGATGACTCTAAATTAGAGTAAAATACATTTTATTTACAAGCAAGGGCAAGGCTACATTCACAAGTTTATACTTTCTTTTATATTGTAATCATGGCTAGATTTTTAGGTAATTAATGAGTATGAGGACAACTACAATTTAACACTGAAAAAACAAACTTACAATAAAAGAGATGGCGATCGAAAGAACGATGAGGACGATGCCAACGTACTTTATTGTTCCTACTAAAAAATTATTTATCTTAACGATTACCTTTTAAAGAACTTACAGTAATACAAGGAGAAGTATGTGAACACTGCCAAGCCCCACTGAAAAAAGGGAAATCTTATTTTCTCTACAGAAAATACGATGCAATGCCGTAACTTAAATATGTATAATCAAGCCCACCTCGCTCAGAATCAAGATCACCGGCAGCAGCGACAATCGTATTGTCATCGCTTCGTACTTTGCCACAAGAATTGTCGCTACAAGCCTTTCCACGATAAAGGCGTCCAAGTTAAAAATGGAGCATAATATACCCAATAAACTGAGGCCGACTAACACCCGTCGAATCAAAAGCCCGTCCAAGTAATTCCCGGCGAAAAAGTCAATGTTCAAACATAATTGAGGTATAAGATTGATCAGTGTGATTATTGGCTGATGGAGGAGGAGGTACAGGAGGTTTCGATGGAGCGTCTGAAACATTGGCGATGATGATTTTTATAGCATATCCAATTACGTAAAATTATTAATTTTACAAACACATCTGCAACATTGTTATGGCTTATGTTTAGTTTTTCCATTCAGCCTTTCCAAGAAACTTTTTGAAATAAACCTTGCATTGCTCTTTAAATTAACACCTGCGAATAACAGATTTCTTCTATTGACTTACCATTTTGGTCGCCAGAAAGTACATGTAGACCAAAGTATACAGTATTGCCAAGACACTATATACCAAATACACTGCGATTACAACTTGCAGTGCCATGTGATCTTCGTTATATAGAGTGTATTTGGTAGTGTACACTTCATCTCCATCATCTTGCTCCATAAGAGCAAATTTTATAGTTAAATTTAGATGGTGGAATTGACAATACAAAGGAAAGTTGTTGTAGAAAAAATAACTCGTATGATATTAACAAATTTAAGAGAAACAAAAGTTAAATGGGGATTAAAAAACAGTAATTGAAAGTGCAATTACCAACGAAACAAAGCCATGCGCTTTTCGTGGCCGTTATCGCGGGAAATTCCATTCATATTTGGCCATGATGCGGAGAGAAACACAAAACTTGGGAAAAACTTATAACCCGCCCCGCTTTTGAGGAATACGCCGCTTTCCCGCTCTCATACCAAATAAAGAGTGCGATGGTTTGCAGCGGGCATTTCGACAGGACCGGATGTGAATCGACATCTGTAGCCAAGTGAGAAAGGGTTGAGAGGTATGGTAGGTTTGGCGATAAAAATAAATACTAAAGAAGACTAAAAATGTAAACGAATGAGCTTTGAACGCATCTAATGCGTTGGGAAAATCACAGCAAGAGCCAATTCTATGTATAGTAAAACGTGCTATACGTACAGAAAATGAGTACGATCTTCTAAGATATTTTTAGAGTATTTGCTCTACGTATGTTTCAATTCAAACCCGAGAAGACAACTTTTTACCACACCATTCTGTTGGCTATTAACGATACGAAAACTATTTACATTTAGGCTCCAAATATCATCAGTTAATCCTGAACCAAAGTTTTGTGAAATCGATAATCTACAGGGTGACCCAAAATAACGGAGACAAAAGATTTCCCGTTTTTTCTGCGGCCTATGAAGATTCATGAGTGATTCCTTATTTATACTACAGTACCACGTTAGTGTAGTTTTATATACCGGAAGTTTTGTTGTACGACGCTCTTGTGCCTTGAACCACATCAATATATCCGGTTGACTCGGACCTTTCTGCCCGTGGGGTCTTTTTGCAAGAAAGCCGCCTTACTCAAAAAAGAAAATTCGGAATAGTTTGAGATTCGCTGTGCTTAATTATCATAATATGGCCTTTAAAACGAGCCATCGTACTAAGCTCAACTATCGATGGTTCAAAAGTTACAGCCGAGTATTTTCAGGGAGTTGAAGTGCAAAAATCGGCCTTTTTTGAAAATGTATCGGTAAAAAGGAGTTTAAATGTTAGATAAGGCAAAATGTAATATGAGTTACTACAACATGATTAAAGGAACACCATAGAACCAAAAGAGAAACATTTTGTAACTGCTACGGAATGCTATTTGGTAATCACTAGGATTGTGCCTTATTTTTGCCTTAGGCGGAATACCAGTCGAGCCGGTGACACATAAAGACCGAAAGTGCCCTAGGCCGTTTCTCAAGAGTCGTATTCATAATTGTACAAGAGCAGAACGCGCCGTTTTTATCTATCTTGTCATTTTGTTATCGATAACCCATCTTTCTCAAAGCCGCGTGCCATGGGGTAGTTCTGGGCGAGAAACTTGTCAAGGAAAATCTGTTGCAACCAGCAAGCAATCACAGCTTTTTCCAGAATTATTGTATTTATGAATAGAATACGTTCTAGCGGTTTTAGCTTTATTCTAAAAAAACTGAATTTTTTATCGAAAAAATTTGGAAAAAATGGCGATCTTCAATGTTGAGATTGGTACCACCGTAGAAATAAAAACTGTAGCCCAGAAACCTACATAACTGCTTGCTTAGAGACGTAGTAGTCTAGCAAAACAAATGAACTTTCCATTTCTGCGGCTGTAGTACAGCCATGCTCTACACAACAAAAAGGAACCAAAATTGAGGGCCAAAAAATGGCGCAAGGCATTTTTGTTAAGCTGTAACTTTTTCCTGCGACATGATGACTCCGCCAAATTTTCGTGGATTATAGAGAAAGTCTTATAGAATATTACCCACTGTCGCTTGTGTTTCTGTAACGCCCGGGTTTCGCGGTGGGCCCTTCCAAAATTTGTCTCCGTTATTTTGGGTCACCCTGTATTTCGAGTTATTCCTTGAAATAACATGTTAAAAATTTATTGGTAATCACCCCAGTAAAGTCGATGTTGGAAAGGGAGGCAAAGTCGAAGTTGGGAAAACTGGAGGCCAAGATCCATCTCTTGGCAACCACGGCCAAGTGTCGTATCTGTACGGATACTGTGGCTGGATGTATCCCGGTGGTGGCTCTACATACGGTGAACCTCCATACATTGGTTGGCACGATGGAAAGCCTTCAAGCCCACAATGAGGGTTGATCCTCGGAGGAACATAGCCATAGCCAGGAATGATATAACATTCCGGGATACAGTAGAAAGGCCCTTCAACGTAACAGAAAGGATGGCAGGGGAATTTAAGGGATGGATAACAGATTGGAGGGATGCAACTTATCCAGGGGACTACTGGAGGAGAGGTGGAGGGAGAAAATGGGGCTGTTGGATAACTTGTTACGGTCGTTGTGATGAGAGTTGTTCCATTAATTGGAGTGGTGGGTAGTGTTGAAGTTTTTGGGATTAATGTAGTTACAGTTGTTGTCCCGTTTAATGGCGTTGTAGTGATGGTAGTAGTTGTTGTAGTAGTTACTGTAGTTGTCGTCGTTACATTAGTAGTGGTTGTTTTGGGGGTTGATGTTGTCGTCGTAGTAGTTGTCGTATTTTTGTCATCCAAAAGTAGCCGTAGTCGACGTATTTGTGTCATCCGACGGTCTTGATTTCGAAACTTACAGCCATCGTTACCCTCCACCCAGTAATACATGTAGTCGACGCCTTTGCTTCCAAGATGAGCGCAATTTATCTGCATGGTCTTAGGATAAGGTGAGCTGAAACATTTCTTTAAATTTACTGTCTAGCAACAAACTGTAGAGTTCAATTGGAGATTACTTACGGGAAATCAATCACTTTTGACCCATTCAGCCAGTATTCGTAGCCCTTTTTAGTGACCACGATGTCTGCTTGAAAGACCACTCCTTTCTTCACCGAGCCCTTCATATCTTTGGCCCAATCACACCTTGAGTTCTTACCATAACAGAAACGATCTTTGTTTGTCTTCAAAATTGAATGGAAGCTGCCGGCGAAGATGTTGTTGGGATTCGACCCGTTACAATCCTGAAAACGAGGACGCAGAACAACATGAAAGTCGTCCCCATTGCTTTTCCCAATCATCCGAATCTTCATCCCCGGCTTAAGACCACCGCATATTGTTAGATTTACTGCGGAAGTCATGATTGCAGCGGTAACGGAGATAAACGAAAGTAGGACAAACAGAATAATCATGGTTTTAGGTCTGTGTCTGCATGCCCATGTGAGGAATAAGCGTGGACGAACAGGGACGTTATAGAATAACCTCATAAAAATTATTGGTTATGCGGTTATTAGGCAGCAATATTATCAATTAACTTTATCACCTCCGCGTTTGACATCGTAGCAAAATAAATGTTATCAGTTTTTACTTTGGAATAAAACTTTATTACGAATCAGGAATTGGCAGACAACTAGGTAAACCACTCATATTACAGGGTGGATAAACTGATGGTGGGTAGTATCCTCTAGCAGGCATGAAATAACACTGAGGAGGACAGTAATACGGCCCCTCATTATAGCAGACTTTCTTACATGGAAATTCCATTTTAGGGTAGCAATATGGGAACTGGCATTGCGGCCATCCTTCTGGCGGAAAATCATCGGGATACGGCGGAAGAGTAGTTGGGGCAACGGTAGTGGTTGTGACGTACAGACTGCGATCTGGATGATCTCCTTCGCGTTGTGGACAGTCCTCGTTTCCTTCAATCCAATAATTCGTCATTTCCATATGACTTCCGGTGATTTCTACACAAGTGATTGGAAGGTGATGATACGGTGATCTGAAACTTTTGGAAGAGAATTAATAACGAGCATGGTTCTTAGAAGATGCCTTTTCTCTTCGCAATGCATCTACATAACTTACTTAGCGGAAGCGTATCTGGTGCCGTTAATATAAACATCATATCCAACCTCTGTCACCCGGATGTCAACAAAAACCAGCCCAGTCTCCCACTTAGGAATATCTACCGTTTTCGTGAATTCCAGTTGGATGTCTTTTCCATATCCATAAACGATGAAACCTCGCTCCGCCTCCATGAACAAATACAGAGCATTGTAATGTTGAATAGCATAGGTCCGGACTGGGCTGCAATTCATGCCTCGAGCTTGAAATGTAACAGTCATATTGCTGTACGGATACACCTCGAATCTGACTTTCATCCCGGGCCGTAGGCCTCCACATACTTCTCCGTATTGTACAAAATAGCAAGCAATTGGAACGAAAAGAAGAGTAGTATAAAGTAGCGATACATGTTCCATTTTTGTCCAAGTAAAAAATTTGATTAAAAATCAGAGATGATTTCATCTAGCTCGTAATGAAACTAGCCAATAAAAATGTTAATTCAGCCAATTACTATGTTGATCCCTCTGTTAAAACGACTCTTTAGTCTTATAAACATTAGGAAAAATCACTATCATATATATACTATATTATATTATTTACTTTCAAACAAATAATTAAATTATCCACGATCAGGAGGAATCGGAAGACAACTCGGAAGTTGGCGCATATTACAAGGCGGATAAACAGGTGGTGGATAATATCCTCTGCCCGGCATCTCATAACAATTCGGAGGACAGTAATACGGCCCTCCACTGTAGCAGGCTTTCGGACATGGAAATTCCATCGAGGGATAACAAAAAGGGAGATTGCATTCAGGCCATCCGGATGGAGGAAAATGATCGGGAAACGGTGGAATCGTGGTGGTCGTAGTAGTCGGTGTGGTGGTCCAGACATATCGAGATGGATCGGGCTTGTCAAGAACTCGATCAGGACAGTATTCGTTGCCTTCGATCCAATAGTAATTTAATTTAATGTCATCTCCATGGATATAGATGCAGTTCACGGGGAAATAGCCGTAAGGGGAACTGAAAAGGGTATTTTTATCAAGTATAGCGGCTTATTCGATGCTAGAATTCCATGTACAAAATTCCGGATAAGACTTCCTTAATTCATAACTTACGAAATTACTACAATAGATTTTCCGTTGATTATGACTGCGTAGGAAGAGTACTCCATAAAAACAATTTCCACATCAAGCAAGTCCTTATACGGCTGCGATAAAGTGTAGTCAGTAGAGTTTATCACATCGGGCTCAATATCTGGCCCGAAAGAATAGTACAATCTCTTGTTCGCAGCATCAAATCCCAGTTGAAGGATGTAAAAATGCTCCACGTCCGTCTCTCCATTGGAACTGCAATTCTTTCCCGTTGACTGGAATCTGAGCGTCAAATTGGAATCTGGATTCGCTTGGAAGTGAACTGAATTTCCATACTTCAGACCTCCACAAACATCTCCAAAAGTATACGAAGATGATAAAACAAAAAAGTAACTCAGAAATATCAGTACCTTCCACATGTTGTCTACTAATTAATTCGCTTTAACGAAGAAATGGCTTGATTAGCATATTTTGGTTCTTCAAATTAATTTAAATTATGGTGGAGATACGTTAAAATCAATACCGCAGAATTACATAAAGATCATTGTATTGCGCTCACCCATCCTCGTTCTGCGTCCCAACACGAAAACAAACCAGCTCTCAAGAAATTTTATTTCTTTTTTCTCGATCATTTTTGCGGCCAGCCGGTTTTTTCACGTTTGTTTGACGCAATCGCTCGTTCTTTTTACCTAGACTACGGAAATATTTTTTAGGATTTGTCTTCACAATGGGCTCCACACAATCAGTACCTCAGAACCAGGTAGGACTCAACTTTATCTGTATGGTTTATACTTTTAGGCCAAGGAACCTCACGCTGGATTGGACAAAGATGGAATCAAAAGGGCTCTGGCTTCTTCGACGGGTTCAGGAGGTTGTCCCAAGGCTGAAGGGAACTGCCAAGCTTATGTTAGTGAATGCCCATCATCGGCTGGCGCGGCGAATCCTCATCAGATCGACCCGCTAAATGCAGTAAGTTGGTTTATTTGGAATTGTTGTTGCTTTAGGTCTTAAAGAACGCGTAGGTTTGATATGTAACTCTTGATATTGTCCTTGTGTTGAGAAGAAGAGCATAGGATGTTTTATGTACCTTCAATACTTTGTAACCCGATCTTTCATTACAGATGCCTCCACCGAACCAACGTCCTGCTCCTGATCAGCCATTCCCTCTTTCCACAAAACGTGAGCGCTCCACAATCCCGAAGGCAACTGAACCCGGAAAGACGTGGGAATACCCATCTCCTCAGATGTTCTGGAATGCAATGTTGAGAAAAGGATGGAGATGGCAAGAAGATCAGCTGTCTGATTCGGATATGGAAAATATTATCAAGATCCACAATGCCAATAACGAACAAGCCTGGAAGGAAGTCCTCAAGTGGGAGAATCTTCTTCATCCGTAAGTTGTTTGCGCCTTTTGTTCTTTTATGAAAGTTTTTTCGTGGGGTTTCTTTATTTTTGGATTTTTTAGCGAATGTGATTGCCCAAGATTGAAGAGTTTCAAAGGTGACGCCAAGAATATCTCCCCAAGAGCCAGAATCCGAAGTTGGTTGGGATATGAACTGCCTTTTGATAGACACGACTGGATTGTTGATAGGTGCGGACAAAAGGATGTAAGTGTTTTCACTTTCTTTGTTAAATTTTAGGTGTAACAATAAACGGGCGAAAAAGTTACGGTATTTTCTAGGTTCAATATGTGATTGATTACTATGACGGTGGCGCGGTTGATCCAAACTCGAAGATCTTCACCGTTCTGGATGTTCGACCCGCCTTGAATGACCCGCAGAATGTGTGGGATCGAATGGTGGTCGCTTATTGGAGATTCAAATATGAGACTCTGGGATTTGCCCCGAAGCTGCCGATCCCACCAACAGAATCGTAGATGCTTTCTTATTTGATGTATAATATAGAGTTATGATATACTTTCTATATTATCCATCATCCAGTCGAATATTTCTTGCACTTAGGTCCAATTAGCTCTAACCGGCCATCCGTAGGCCACACCTCGGTTCGTAACAGCCCATGGTCTTGTTATTGTTGTCCCATACCCAACTATTTTGTTAAGCTCAATATTTTGTGTCGTAAACCCTGCCGTTCCCCGGTTTATATCAAAAAACGATGTCTCAGGCACTAAGAAAGTCTAGGTTTTCAAAGGCGGTTCAGAAATTCCCCAGTGGAATGTGAGGTTGTTATCAATAAAGGTTTTACTTTTTTTCAAATTTCGACTTCTGATGAAATGGTAATGTGTCCAAAGAAAAGTTCTTAATAAAGGATTCGGGATGAATTCAGTATAAGACGAAGCTTTCCTTCAGATGTCATTGTTTCGGCGAATCCCGCTGAAAAAATGCACGGAGCTCTTGTTGACAGCCAAGTCAGTACATAGGATGTAAGTTTTGATTTTGACCTTATTTGAATCCAGATTGTAATGATTTATAATACGCGTTATATTATACTTGCCGTCTCTTCAGACCCCAGTATGAAGTTCGTCGATTTCTCGGGGAATCTCTCAAATCCCCAGGCCAAACCCATTCGCAATCGAAGACAGTTGGAGTGTGGCTTCTGGGATGTGCTGGATTAGTTTATGGAGCTGTCGCTTTGGGAGGAGTGACCAGACTAACGGAAAGTGGCCTCAGCATGGTGAATTGGGATCTCTTTCGAACAATGAAGCCCCCATTCAATCAGAGGGAATGGGAGCTGGAATTCGAACGATATAAAGCTTATCCGGAGTACAAGTTGTAAGTTTTGGGGGGAGTTTCTATTTCTGGATATTGAGGTTTGGTATCATAAATAAAAAAATCTTTTCAGCAAATCCTCGAACGAAGAGATGACTCTAAACCAATTCAAATTCATCTGGACCATGGAATATCTCCATCGAATGTGGGGCAGAGCCATCGGATTGGCTTTTCTGATTCCCTGCACTTACTTTTGGTACAAAGGACGATTCAATGGAGCCATGAAAAAGCGGATGCTTCTAGCTGGAGGATTGATCTGCGCTCAAGGCGCAGTGGGATGGTGGATGGTGAAGAGCGGACTGAATCCGGAGAACAATTCTAACAGGGACATCCCCAGAGTCAGTCAGTATCGATTAACTACCCATCTCTCCATGGCCTTTGTTCTTTATGCCATGTTTTTATGGACTGGACTCTCAAATGTCTTGAAACCAGCTGACGTAAGTTGAGCATCTTGTTGATTAGATTATCTCCAATAGCTTTGGCGTTAATTTTGTTGATTTATAAGGCTGTAAGAAGTCGAATTAGAATGAAATGGGTTACTTTCAGCACACTGCTATCCAAGGAATCAAAAAGTTCCGTGGCATCACCCACGGAGCCAAAGCCCTGATCTTCCTGACCGCCATTTTCGGCGGGTTCGTCGCCGGATTGGACGCCGGCTTGGTCTACAACTCCTGGCCGAAATTCGCGGACCGTTGGCTCCCTGAAAACATGACCTCCAAATCTCCGGCATGGAAGAATTTCTTCGAAAATGAGGTCACCGTCCAGTTTATTCATAGAAATTTGGTAAGTAAAAATAATAGTAATTGAGATGAACATGTTGTCAATGAGGATTTGGTTTATCTTTTTATTATTTCAGGCGTATCTCACCCTCCTTTCGATCACGATGACCTGGCTGAAAGGACGAAGATTAGCTCTCCATCCCCGCGCCAAGATCGCCCTTCACGGCCTCATGGCCATGGGATATGCACAGGCAATCCTCGGCATCTCTACCTTGGTAGGTCATAGTCATCTTTGGAGGATAATAAATTCAGGTCCACCATGTTCCTGTCTGGCTTGCCGCGCTTCATCAGTCCGGTTCCATGGCTCTGATTGGCTTCGTTCTCTGGCTTTCCAATGAAATCCGCCGCATACCCAAATAATCTTGATTCAGTATAGGCATAGGACATAATTTCTCATTGTTACGGTTTGTAATTTATTGTTGTGAATGAATTTAGTTATTAGTTATTCGAATTTTTTTATCTGCCAACTTGGAATTGAATCGACAGGGACCGGAAAAAAATTGGTCTTTGATTTTTGTATTGCCAAACTTGGAAATCGGTCGTTTTTTCAACGAAACTGGGAGAAAAATTAATTTTTCTTGCTTCATAATCAAGAGCGTGGTACCGTCAATTCTATCAAGGGCCTTATGCCTTCTAAGAGTCGGGGTGAAAGTTCATCGAATCTTGAGAAATCCAGTGATCATTCGCCAAACGAAGATTCAAATGGATATTTGGACAAGAAAAGTGGGATGGGCTGGGTGGTAACTGGGCTATTTGTGGCCGGGGAACTCGCCGGTGCTGGGATGATTGCACTACCATTGTCTGTCAGAGCTCTCGGTAAGTTTTGAGGATTAGTATTCAACGTATTTTAGGTTTCTATTTCGGTAACGCTTTCCTCCTTCTTTCTGGTTGTATGGCTGCTTACACTTCCATAATTTTGGGTCGATCCTGGCTGATTGTTCAGAAACATTGGCCAGAGTATCGTCATCATTGTCGAGATCCCTACGCTCAGATTGGCTTCCGGTCTTATGGGGTGTGGATGAAGTAATTTTAGTGCCTCCAGGGCTGTAAATAATTTAATTTTCTATTCCAGACGTCTAGTTGAGATCAGTGTTAACCTTGGGATGTTCGGGATGGCCGTGATTTTTGTGGTGGTGAGCTCGAAAAATGTGAATGATGCTGTCAAACAATTCGCTGCTCTCAAGTTGGATTATTGCTTTGCGGCGGTCATCATAACTATGATCATCACTCCATTCACAATGCTGAAATCACCCAAGGACTTCTGGTAAGGAATTGGCAGCTTGATTTTTTGCAATTGGAGTATAAATTTGTCACGGAACATCTAAAAATTTTTATTGTTTATGTTGTTCTAGGTGGGCAATGATGCTGAGTATTGGTTGTACAATCGCTGCGGTTATTTTGGCATTTTGCGGGGCCACCAGCGACTTGAGAACATGCGATGACACCTTGACTGTGCCACACTTTGAATACACGGCAGCATTTACAAGTCTGGGAAATGTAATGCTGGCTTATGGAGGGCACGCTTGTTTCCCAACCATTCAAAACGATATGAGACAGCCACAGAAGTTCGGGCTCGCCTCTATTTTGGCTTATTTTAGTGAGTTTTTCCGTATTTTTTTTTATTTTTAATGAAATTAATGAATGGAATATTTTTTTTACAGTAATCACAATGTTATACTCTCCAATTTCTTTGGTCGCAAATTTGGCATACAATGCCAATTTGGCTCCTTCCGTGATAAATAATCTTCAAATTGAGTGGATTCAGGAGTCGGTCAACATCTTGATTACTGTCCATTGCATTACCACTGTAATTTTGGTGATGAATCCGGTCATGCAAACTGTGGAGGAGATCATGGGAGCTCCGGATGGTAAATTTGTTCAAAAAAAGTTTGTAAGGAAGAATGAGCTCGAAAAAAATTTGCACCGTGCATCCGGCCCAAAAAGGCGCTTGCACAGTGCATTTTTGCTTTGTTTTGGTTTGCGTCGCGCGCGATTTCCATTTTTCGCAGCGACAAATCAATTTTTCGGGGTGCGACAGATTTTTGGGGGCGCCAAAAATTCTCAGGACTTTTTCGCCGCCTGTTCAGCGATATTTGCAGACGAGAGAGTAGGCTAAATGCGGAGAGTGACCAGACAAAAATATTTTTGGATTATATCTCTGCCAGTTTTGTGTGGCAATGAATTATCTCCTGTAGAAATGGAACTGGAGCTTTTTATGACAGGACTGGAAAAAATTGTCGAATTGTGGTCATCGTTCGTCCTAAAAATCTCGGTTGTTTCTGCAAAGCGCTCGTTAAAAATCCAGAATTTACGTTTGAAAAACATAGACTAAATTTACGTGAAATTTCATTAAAATTTGAGCTTGACACTTTAAAAAAATCAATTTCAATGATAACTGCGTTTTGTAGACTTCGGCTTCCATCGAATTGTAATCCGCAGTGGGATGATGCTCCTGCTCCTCATCGTTGTCGAAACTTTCCCTGAGTTTGCTCCATTGATGGGTCTGGTCGGTGGATTTGCCTTCAGCACCACTTCGTTCCTTTTTCCAGTCCTATTTTATCTTCAATTGAATGTTTTGGATCAAAAGATGGTCCGAATTGAGAACATTCGAGCCAGAGAAGAGGAATCGGAAAGCAGCAGCGGGAAAACAATGGTAATATGCAAGTTTGGGCTTGTGGAGAGCCTCAGCATGACGAGCTGGCCACATCTTATTGCTATCGGCGGGATATTTGGTAATCAATTTTGAGATTTTTTGGCAAAATTGCAGTAAAAATCATATTATTTAAAAAAAAAATTTTGCTTTTTTTGATGACATTTCCTTTTTCAGTGATCTCTTTCTTCATTATGATTGTCGCCACACTTTTTGCGATCAACGATTTGGCCACGGCGTCCTTCAAAATGCCCTGTTATTTACGATGGATCAAAGATTGGGAGGATGAAGGGGATGTGGTCGATGTGACCCCTGTTTATTGTTGTGGAAAGTTTTCGAATATCACTTTGGAACCTCAATGCATCAAAAAGAATTTTTATTGATTTTTTTTATTTATTAAAAAATAATTTTTTTTTTTTTAAATTTGAAATTTTCTCTCATTTTCCCTCAAATTCCTCCATTTCGCGGTCGCTTATAATGAAAAAGCTCCTGATATCTGTAGTTTTCATCAGCCTCATGGCACTGGCAACCTCTCGGAAACCTGTTGGACCCCCAGTTCATCGTAAGTCGATGTGGAAATACTCTTATGTTTTTAGGATGTGGCGGCGGCTTGTTATGTGATATGTGGTGCGATATGACCCAATGCTTCTTCCGGGGGCTGTATGGAACCTGCGAGCTGGAGAATAACTGCAATTGCGGGTGCTATGATGTCAGCAAATTGGATGATTACAATGATTCTTTCTAGTCATTATATTGCTTTCTTTGGAGGATAAATGTCGACCTTTTGCGATTTTTTTTTTCAAAATGTCAAGCTCAATTTGTATGGCAACGTATTAGTTTTCTACAAGCAATCAAGTCTTTTCGAGCAGGAGCAGACAAGTTATTGGCAAGAAACGTTTTTTTTGTCTAGCCGGCTCCCTTCATTTTGCGTGCTCTCTCACAAAAATTTATGGACGTTGAAAGGCTTTCAGAAAATGATAGGCTCAAATCTCATTGGAAACAGCAATGTAATATATAATAGTACCTCGAGTTACTCTTGTGTTTGAATATTCTCCCACACATTCTATTTACTTTCACTTCCCCTTTTCATTGTCTCATTTCAATTTCCACAAATCCCTCGAAAAAAGGTTAAATGTCCCAAAATCAAGCCACTGTTCTTCTCATTATTCTCCGGCGAACAAAACAAAAGCTTAATTTAGAAGCGTGTGAGGGAATCTGAGCAAACAATTCCGCCCTTTATTCCGGATTTTTAATAATAAATATCCGCCGGCCAAGGGTACACAGAGAGGGCCCTTATTTGGCGTGAACCGGAAATGAGAGGAGACGTGATGAGGATTATGTGTAGGTGAATGCTTTCCGGAATTTGATGGGGAATAATTTTTGTTCTGTTTTTGTGAGAGATCAGTTGATTTTTGCGGTTTTCTATCTCCACTACGTGCAATAAAGAGCTACAGTGAGGGACCTGATCCAATGGCAAAAAACGTCTCATTTTGCATCCCAGAAGGGACCAAAATGACTCCAAACCCTTCCCTTCTCTATGCTAAAAAACTCCGGTTTGAAAAGCGCGCCCTTTCCTTCAAGGCGGGCTCTTCAAAGCGAGGTTTTTAGCTTAGAGAAGGGAAGGGTTTGGAGACATTTTGGTCCCTACCGGGACGCGAAATGGGATGTTTTTTGCCATTGGATCCGGTCCCTCACTGTAAAATTTTGAGGAGGAATTGATGAAGTGTGGCCTAGACAGTGTTCCTTTGTAATCCTTGAATTGCAGGTGCGCCACAAGTTGAATTTTCCATTATTCATTACCTTATGCGCAATCAAATCTCATCGTTTATTTGTATCCTCCTTTTGCCTAATTTCCCCGATATTTGTCAGTCTTATATGTTACAGTATCCCTCCCTCTTCTTCTCAAATCAAAATCCCATTCATCCAGATCCAATCAATCCCCGCTTTCGCCCCGTTCCACATCATCTTCGCCATCCCAAGATTACCGTGATTAGTCAACACAAACAAAAACATGGAGAGAGGGAACGCCCGAGGGCGCGAAGATGCACCGGCGAATCTAGCCCTCGAGATCTCGGGAAACCAGCTAAACGGGTTCGCTTTTCGATTTTCCCCTTAGGGCTCAGTCGGGAAAAACTTTCGCCTTTTCCGTGAGAGACGCAACGCCTCGTTTTGTAGACTTATAACAATGTGGATTTACGGGAGATTAGTCGGTTGTTCGAAGAGGATGACTTTCGAATTCGGAGGGAAGAATGTCGGAGATTAGCTACAAATCTGCTAGGAGAGTAGCAGACAGTGGATGGGAGTAAATAGTTCAGTTCATTTCGGTTTTTTTTATTTTACAATCTAGATTTAAAAATTTGAATATTTCATTTTTTCTGATCCTAAAATCCCAGCTCTTGGTGAGCGAACTTGTAACCGGAAGCCGTCTCGAAGTCTACAGCTAATAAACGACAAATGACCCATCCACAAATCACTCGGAACACGTCGTTGAACTTTATAAACCGGACGTAGCAGGAGAGCGATCGCTATTTCTTGAGCTTTTCAACTACTAATTTAGCGTAGGTGTTGATATCATTTTTTTGGCATTTTGATGACATTTAGAGAGTACTCAAGTGACGTAAATACTGTCAATGTTTAAGATTTTTATTGTAAGAAAAAGATTTCGTTTAGGCATTTTTTGCAAAATCATGGATAATCTTACCACCAAATCTCTGTTGTTTCTGCAAAGTGCGGTCTAAAGATCTTTTGTGACGTGTGATAGACCTTACTCTTGATTTGTGCCAAAATTCATCAAGGTCTGTGAGTCACCGCCGATTTTGTCATCATTTTCTCCGAACCACTATTTTTGAAATATAAAATACGCCGATTTTCCCTACATTTTTAGCCATATCCTACCTAGACATTTGATTTTGAACACTGCAGAGTTTGCAGATACCTCTTGCCTTCCATATTTTTTGTTCCCTGTTCCATTGTAGCATCAATGTTCCACTCAAAAAACTTACTTTCCTTCTTGATCCCTCCTTCCATTCACGATCAAGTTCACGTTCTCCGCCGTCCCGGTCATTCTCAATTTCTCGCCCCGATCTCACGTCCATTCCCCGTCCCCTGCCGCCTTCCAAGTCTCCCCGTTTTCCGGTGCAGGCACGATAAACGCCCGCAAGATGAACGGGAACATGTCTTTGTTTACAGCGGAAATTATTTCTGATGAGCCTCAGGGCGACTTTCCCCTTCTTTTTTCGTGCTCGATGCTCTCTCCAATTCCATCAACAAACCCCTTGATGCCATCGGTTTCTTTGCCACATTCTCCCCGAACTCTCACCGTCCCCCCTCCCTTCGCTGGAAAGACAACTTAATAAAACGGGCGGCAAGGAACCGGTTTCACGCCGAAATTCGAGAGTGAAAACCGCCGCCGGTTTTCAGCAAACAGCTCTCAGACAAGTAGATCCTTGTATATTCATCATCAATTAATTTGTCTTATCACAGGAGTGACGAATGTTGCTTGTTGAAAAGGGTCATGTTTGTCTTGTGGATGGGTGACATTGAACAGCTGCAACGGGCAATTTTATTTGATTTTGACAGCTTACTCTATCCACCAAATTTTGGTTTGATCTTAGATAATTCAACCGAGAAATTGAATGATCTTTTCCGACAAGTAGCATAATAAGGGTGGCCAAAAATTTTTGCCATATCTTTGCCAATTGTTTAACTGATTTTCTCTAGAAATCTCACACTCCAATTACTATGAAATATATGCTATGATTGCGGTTCCTACCCGCTAAACTTCGTATTGTAGCCACGGCTCCAACTTTGACTCCACCTCCAATTTGATCCCCTCCGATTCCCCCCAAAAGAACTTGGCCCACCGTTCAGGACAATACCCAATACCCTTCCGTTTGCAACGCGAGTTTGTTGGCCTGTTTGTGTTTATTGTTCTCGATAGCCCTCTTCGCGCAATTCCATAATTATTGTGTCTATTGCGCGGCTCCGTTGTCCATTTTTTGTGGAGCCGCTCCCGAATTTCCCCCCATCGTTGTTTCCCCACGCGACACGACGTGATCGACTTTCTTTCTTTCTTCTCCTTTGTCCTATTTGGCCTAGCGCTTCGTCGCCGAGTTTTGGGCTTGGAGTCGATGGGGAGTGGGACTTGATAGAGGGCTGGAGAATGGTTGGGTTGAAGCTAGGCAGTTGTTAAATAGGCTATGTTAGGTGCTCACAAATGAGCCTTTAGAAGATCAGGGAGAAAAAAGATTTTTTTTTTGATAAAACCATGGCATCATTAATTTTCACCGATGATTGTAGGGAAAGAGACTGCGGAAATAAGGATGACAGTTAGAAAAAACGCCTTCTGAAAATGTTTTTGAGTTATACGTGGGAAATAAAAAACATGACATTTTTCGATCGCTTAGCGCGGTCCAAAAACCTTGTAAATCCCCCAGAACTTTCTTCTAATCCCCCAAATTTATGCAAAATCATCTCCCACGCTTCCGATCATCGATCTGTCTAAAATTTCCATTCCGCCATGATTATTTGAGGTAATTTCGAATCTCCCCCATCGATCTCTGCATGCCCATGCCGCGTCCATCCCCCGCCGGCATTTCCCGCGGACTTGTTGATCTTGAGCCCTGATGGAACAAGATGGGGAAAGGATGAGCCGGTTCCTTTGTTTTTTTTGCCGTTTTTCATTTCAATCAGTCCTCCCTCCTTCTATTGACTCCCATTTTGGGGAAGAAGATGAGGCGATTTCTCTTTTCCTTTTCACGCTTTTCATCATCAAATAATTTGCGAGTGCCTGAGGCATATTCAATGGGAGGGAATGCCGATTGCGCGGTTATATTTCTGGATGATGACGCGTATGGATTCAGTAGGGGATTTTCAATGATTTTGTCCGCAATTTTGCATAGGAATGTTTTTAAAACTGTAGTAGATTTCATTGAAACTCGGTGCGAATTGAGATTTTAATTTTCGGAAATTGTTTAAAAATTTTTGGTTGTGTTTTTTTCAGAAACTACAGTGATTTAGAGGTCAAAAGGGATACAAATTTGATCTTTTTGTGTACGTTTTCATAAAGATGTAGCCAAAAAAGGCTTTTTTTCTCTGACTCGCCCTTCCATTTTCTGTAAACTCTAGTCTCTGGAAAAATGGCTGAATATCTGTGCTGCCTTTGCAAAGCATAAGATAAAATTTTTTCAAATTGTCATATTCCCCAGGCAGTTTACTTCTACAAAAACAAGAGTAACTCCGAAGTCGACCATTCCTTAAAAAACCTAAAATTTTCCCTACCTTTACAGCCCTGGAAATGCCCTTTAACCCACCTGAGACCGCCTAAAATCATTTTCGCCCCTGTCTACAAAACGTTGTTGATCTCTGCCCTCTTATTGCATAC